GCTGAAGTTGAACTTGAGGCTAAGCTGAAGCTAAACTTGAGGCTAAACTGAACCTGAACTTGAGGCTGAGCTGAAGTCGAACTTGAAACTAAACTGAATCTAAACTTGATGCTGAACTGGAGTCTAAACTAAAGTTGAACTTGATGCTAAACTGAAGCTGAACTTAAGGCTAAAATGAAGCTGAACTTGAAGCTAAACTGAAGCTGAACTTAAGGCTAAAATGAAGCTGAACCTGAGGCTGAGCTGAAGCTGAACTGGAGGCTAAATTAAAGACTGAGCTGAAGCTGAACTGGAGGCTAAATTAAAGACTGAGCTGAAGCCGAACAAAAAAGCTCAATATTCTCAAATTCAAGACAAACTGACCAATCCAAACCGTGCATGCCTTGATACTTCCATTCCCACAAATTCGCACAATGCAAAAGACAAGAAAAAGATGTTGAGCCACAAAACGTGTTCTGTTCAAGTTGTACAATTTCTCGTTAGAAGAGTCAGTTGAATAAAATGCCACACGCAGCAAATACAATAACCGCAAAAGCTCATAAATGAAGTGAGTGGAATGTTTTGCGTTGCAAAATGTTTGAGGTCTCTTTACCGTCCATTTGAAACGAAAACTAAAGCACAATAAACACCTTCAAATAATAATTTTTGTTTGAAATATTTAGGTGAATGAGACAATTGTAGCTTATTGGCAAATCGTCGTGTTTGTTGGTCAACAATGAGAAGCTTAAGTAACTTAAGACCTCTTTACAATGCACAAAATAAAAATAGCTGATCAATATCGACAAGCACGCAAGAAACTTTCCCATCGTCGTTGTCCAAAAAAGAAATTGTTTGTTTATCTTGTCAAGGCTGTTGCCGGGAATTATTCTCAGTCTCAAATTTAATTTCTCAGAAAATTGTCGCATATTGTTTAACTTACAGGAAATTGAGAGAATGCAAAAAATGGCAACTTTCAAGGATTTATTTTGTTTATCTGTCGACTTTCAATACAACACATTGTTGTTAGCGTTATTTATGGTGCTGCTTTTTGTTCGCGAGCACAATACAGGCGACGGGCTTGATCATCTTTTGCGGTGACCTAATTCTCAATATTACTGTTTTATTTAATTGAAATATTGATGATTCTTGTTATTTCTATGATTAAATGTTGCTGAAAGGAGGAACAAACATGTGCGTGTGGGTAACGGTTGCTGTAAGAAGCTAGTCATGATTAATCAATGAAGAATCGTGTGTTGTGATTTTTTTTTTGCAATGTTGGAAGTCTTTTGGATTAGAAATGTTAAAGAATGCGGGTGTTGCTTGGGGGCCGTTCACTTATGACGTCAAGGGGGGGGGGGGGGGTCAGCAAGAAAAGATCAAAAGAAATTCCAGGAAATCCATTGTTCTATTTTGAATTTTAATTCTGAATTTGAATAGTCATCAAAATACCACAAATTGACATCTCAGGCATGATCCTCAGAAAAGTAAATTTCAAATTTAAGTCAAATCTATTCAAAACAGACTCAAGCTCATAAACTACCGATATAACTATCATTGTCACTTTATTCATCCACATTATAAGCCACAGGTGGGCTTCACACTCACTTTATTGCCACATTTCAGTAGATAAAGCCATTAAGTCTCCAAAAAAGGTGCAAACGTGTCGTTTACCTAAAAAAATTTCAAATTCAATGATTCCAAATATCAATAAAATTTTATTTGCAAATTTTATTCTAAAAATATCATTTCTACATGCTTAATTAGGCAGATTGGTGACAAGCTTTTCCAACTGTTTATTTTAATTAAGCTGTAAATTAATTAAAGTTATGAAAATTATTTAAAATATTGATAGATTAAATTTTTTCCGAATATGGAAGATAGTAAAAGAGTTTTGGATGTGCTATCAGATTGCTAGACAAATAATGCATAATATTAAGCATCGAATGTGTTTGATAGTCAATGGGGTCGTTCATAAATGATGCATACATGATTGTGTTTCAAAAGAATTCATCAAAAATCCTAGTTTTAGTGCAATGATTTGAGTAGGAGGCCGTTCACGTATGACGTCCAAAGGGATGGGGGGGGGGAGGGCGGTCAGCAAGAAAAGAACAATAGAAATTCCTGGAAATCTATTGTTCTTTTTTGAAAAATCTATTGTTCTTTTTTGAAAAATGACCGTTAATTTCGGACATCATAAGTGAACGGCCCCTAGGGTGACTAAGTATGTACAAAGACTTTGTCCTGTGTATCTATTATACAGAAATGGTTTCAAGTCATACAAATTTAGGGATATATTCAAATGAATCAACGTCGAAGTATCTAACAGACTTGACAAATAGGAGACACTCGATTGAATTATTAACAGTAGATTAACCAGGGCAGAGCAGATGACAAAGTCTGACAAAGTCGCATATTTTGTTGCATTACTAAATCTTCAAAAGGAATCTCAAACAACCTCATAAAATTTCATAATTGTTATCACTCATCTCATCCATAAAAAATTAAAACTTACTTTTTAATGACCGCAAATTTCCATTAATCGCAGACATTAAAATACAAATAATTAAAAAAAATTCAATGTGCAAAAAATATGCAGAAAAAAAAGATTAAAAAAATGATTTTTATTGTGGGCGAACAATGGCGCAGAAATGAATAATAAAATTGACTATCAAATTTCACCGTATCATCATCACCGTCAGCAGCAGCAGGGTGTCATTATTCCTCCAAATTGAATTTTTAAAGTCCATTAAATGAATTTTTTCATTGCATCTGAAAATGAGCGGCCAACAATGAGGAAATAAGAAGTGAAACATATAAACACAGCCAGAGTAAAGTACACAATTTTTGCATCCAAATGAGGAATAAAGATCAGGAAGGAAAGGAAAAAAAAAATCGAGAGAGAATCACGATGTTAATGAAGATGATGATGAACGCCGAAACAATGAAATGAAAGTGAAAATTTTTTTCTCTTTCAAGAACCGCAACGAGTACCAAAAATGGCTTCACGAACATGTTTAATCCATTTAAAGAATATCTCGTAAATTGGCCACGATTGCGCAACAACAATCTACATGATTAGTCTTCAATTAGCTTTCTTTGTATGTCTGACTTTTCATTGGGCTTAATTTTGTGTTAAATTGAAAAACTATTCACACGCACACGTGTTATGTTTATGCAGATATTGCTTAAATTATGACTTTATAAAGCGCTAATATGCTTCAATGGACATTAAATGCATATGTTGAGGCTGTCATGCAGCGCATTTATGGCTGTTAATTTTATTTCTGTTCTTTTAAAGGAGTTGGTGGCAATTTAACTAGTTTTGACATCAATTGACCCCCTGATAAAGTCGTAGGGTGTTGTTTATGATGTTATAATGCTTAAAGTAAGGGTCGATGGCTCATAAATTCCCCAACTGTACCTAAAGATAGTTTTTGACAGTCTTGACTTAAAACATAAATTTTTCGACCCCTAACCAGACCCTTAAAACCTTAAAAAGAATTAATGGACATTCTGCTCACAACCTTCAACCACAAACTCCATCGAACATAAATTATCGAACTTCATTAAGTGAGAAAAAACTGTTTGTATCGTCCACATTGAATTTCTCATTAGCATGAAAGTATTAATGGGTCAAATTATTGTGTGCATTTGCATTGTTCGGAAGGCGAAGAGAAAAGCAAACGAAGCAATAAGATCACGATCACGAAAGTATCAAGAGGCTGCATATAGAAAATGAAATTCAATTGTATTCTAAATATGTTGTCGTCTCTCTTTTAAACCACAAAGTTCCATCTCAAGACATCATCCAATTTCCGCAAATGGAATATTCTAATCTGATCTTTCTCCTTTCTTTCCACAGTTTTTGATGACTTGTAAATGCATAGCACATATAAATATATCACATGCAGCACATAATAAAGGGATAACTTTCATTACTTATGTTTTGTGGGCGCCATTCACTTTCTTATTGCTGCTGTCTGAGTAAATAAAGTCAATTAATTGAAAATAAGTCATAACAAGCAATATTGTTAATAATAAAAATGTATCGATGCTTTTAAGCTGTAATGATATTACTAAATTTAGAGATTAGGGAAATGAAATTATTTTTGGTGAGTTTGAAATACAATGGATTGTTTTAATGGACATAAATTGATTCAGTTGAATCATTGGAAAAAGAAATGTTTTAATTAGGGCCAAAAATTGAATAGCTGTAATATCAACTGCATTTTTAATTAATAATCATTTTAAACTATACAACAGCAGACAAAGCAAACAAAAAGAAGCTGTTTCCGACCAAATTTGTGACGAAAGGGTTGGAGTCCTAAAAAAGTCGTTGTTTTCGAGTTGTGTGAGAAGATTTTACTTATAAGTTACTTTGCTGGTCGTACAGATCAATTGTAATCCATGACCTCCTTCAGTTGACGCCTGGCTACCGTCTGCCAATTTCCAATCCCAAGTGCTATACTGTCTCTATCAACAGCTTCTTTCCGCGAGTTCTTTGCATCAATCACTCGAAAACATCAATTGCGTTCTCGTTTGCTGCGGTCATATTCCATGACTCTGAGCCATAGCGCTACTGGGCGAAAAAGCATCTTATAAATGACTAATTTGGCAAATCTCGAGATTTTCCATGACATAAGTAGATGCCTAATTGCAAAATATGCACGCTTAGCCGCTAAGATAAGAAGATTTTGGAATAAGTCATCGTTGTTCTAACTTTTTAATGCCACACATATTATGTGGCTCGTGGCATTTCGCAAATTTTTCTGTGGAACATGATTTTGTCATCACTTTTGAAGTAAAAAACCAGAAGAATTATAATATTTTAAAAATGAATAATTTTAATATTTAAAACATAATACTCTTAAATTGCACCATATGACCACTTCCAACATTGTTTTAAAACAAAAATACAGTTCGCCAGACTGACTCATTACACATTTCATACAATGAAACTCCTAAATAAGTTTATTTTTGATGATAAGAATTTTTGTTGATAACAAAATTGAATAAAACATTCAGTTCTCAGTGACATTTTAATGAATAAACATTCAAACATTTTGTCAGTTCATTATCAATTTAAAATTATAGGAATTTTCATGTCGTTAAAAATAAGTTGAATAAAGTGCAAAAATGGATTTAAGTCATTACTTTCCGGCAAGATTAAAAAGGTTTTTGGCCATTCAAGATGAAAATTTTAGGATGAGAAATGGTATGAATACTTTAAAGCAGTGTTGTCCAAACTGTTCCAAATTTTATGGAAATGATACGAGCCGCACTTTAGTCTTGACTTACCCTTTAGTGTGCCGTGAAAAAGTTTGGACAACACTGCTTTAAAGGGTAAAGTCTGGACATTGAAACTTAAAATAATCACCAAACTCACTAATCTAAAAAATTATAAAAATTCTGAGAAAATTCTTATCACCAAAATTGTTGCAAACAGAATATTTTGACCTTGACGTTCTTTAAGCGTCTGATTTAAATTTAATCCTCTTACTTTATTTATTCTTTAATTTTTAGAAGACATTGAGATGGTCGTTGTACCTAAACCTAATAATGATGATCATTTTGAATCTGAATTGACAATTGCTGACAATTTTGAATTTATTGAAAGTTTAATAACCTTTTTTGATAATTCTGATGTGACAAACTTGCTAAATGATGCCAATAAAATACTATTGTTCAAGCTTCAAGTCGAAGATATTTCGAAGAAACCGACCGCAACAGATCTTGAAGAATTGGGACGAAAGTGTGCAAATAATTCAGTTGTCATTTATTTAACTACAAAGAATGATTACAAATTTTATCTTTATTGGAAAAATAAAGAAATTCAACATTTTTTGGCACTGAAAGTTTATGAAGAATTATATTTAATGAACGACACCAAACTTTTTGATTTCCTTACAAGTTTTTTGATGAATTCATTAAAGCGAGGACATTTAGGTAAGATTTTAAATACCTTAAGAAGCGATGCGAAATAGAAAGATTTAATTTTTTTCCGCTTTTAGGTCTTCACAATGCTGTTCCGATCCATCCTGACTCGAACACATTTGAACTATATCTTTGGGCTGATCATCGAAACTACAACTTATTATTAATTGCTGCTGAACTTGGAGATTCTTATATAGTCAATTTTATGCTGAACGGTGGATTTAATACAGAATTTCACGGAACAAATGCACAAACTTTGGCATGGAATGGACAACATTTTGACATTTTGTTAAAACTACTTGAGTCTAATTTGACTTATCCGTATATGATAAAAATCGACGAATGTCCTGATGACATCAGAAAATTCAACAAAATTAGTCAAGATTTAAATGATGCAATGATAGCAAGAAATTCTGAAGACGTGATTAAAATACTTTCCGAAAATAAAGGAATGACTCATTTTTACAACTTAGAAAATGAATCGGCTCCATCATTTGCATTGAAAAATAAGCTGTTTGATATGTATGCACTTTTAATAGCTAGAGATGTAAGATTTGGACCACATGAAAAGTTTAGTGACATAAAAGATAAATTAACTGAAAATGAACGAGAAAAACTTAAAGAAATTCATTACAATGAGTCAAAATTTCCTCCTGATAATCATATGCATGTGCTATTGTCAAATTCTCGTCTAGGACGTGGATCATCTGATCAAGAAAAAAAATTTAAAATCATACAAAAAGCCTTTGAAGTTTTAAATGAAAATCCTTTTGTTCAAATCATTCTAATGATTGTTGCTGCCACGAGAAACTTTCGAATAGTTTTTGACTTTAGTCGTGATTCCGTGGAACTTATTGATCCAACAGCAAACTCTTCTTTTAAAGGATCATATTATATATCAGGAAGAATCTATATTGGTGCTAAAAATCTATTAAATGATAATACGAAATATGAAGCTTTAGGGACATTGGCTCATGAATTATGTCACAATGCAATGAATTTGGTGTTTAAGAATTTTGCTAATCCTTATTCACGAAACGATGTAGAGACTGTGAAAAAATTTGAAGAAATTTCAAAGTTTTGTGAAAAAAAATCAGACAAGGAAGAAATCATTAAACTGGCATTTTGCAAATTTTATTCAGATTTAGAACGCCATGCAGAGCTGATAGTTCGAGTTCCACATTTGATTATACATTATTTTAACAACAAAGCAAAATTTGAAGAAGTTCGTAAAATATTTGAAGATCTTTTCGTTTTTTATTACGAAACTACAATAACTCAGCAAATGAAGAAAGCCCTTCCAGAAATTGAAGCACATGCAGAAGCTGAAGCACAGAAAAATAAGAAAAAGATAAGAAATTTAAAAATATTTTTAATAGTCGGAGGTTTCCTGTCAATTATAACAATTGTTATGGTGATTCTGATCTTATACTTTGCTCTTTCTCCGACATTTTATAGTTTCTCAAGTTTATCAGATGATCAAAAATCGGATGTTGAAAATGCATTAATTTTGTATAAAAATGAAGAAATTAGATTCATTGATTTATTTCCAAAAACTTCAGAAGCTTATAACAAATTAACTTCTGATGATATTTCAAAAATGCTTGACAATGAACGATTAAACCTCAGTGATCCTTTGTTTTATCATTTAGAAACAATTGTCACACATGATTGGCGGAATCTAACAAAGAAATTGCATGATAAATTTTTGAATTCAAGCTTTTCATTTCAAAATGAAACTATTAAGTTTATCGAGTTATTTAATATTAATTCTGAGTCTTTTAAATCATTAACTTCAACTCAAATTATTAATGTTTTCAAAGGTGAAATTTTAAAAGTTCATAAAATGATAAAACCAGAAGCAAAATTTTATATTGAAAGAAGTTTTGTGAATGATCATATTTTTGAGATTTATTATGATTTTATGCTGCATGTGCATGGCGATAGTAAATTATCAAATCCTTGTATATGTTACAATACAACTGGATATAACACGACATTTGACACTTTTTATCAACAATTTATTTCTAAAAATATTCATGACCAAATGAGCAAAATTAAGGAAATTAATCGTGATGATAATTTTAAAAGATGTTCAACATCTGATTTTAGAGTTAATACCTTAATTCCTCTTCCTAATTTTGATCAATATTCTGTAAAAGCTGGATACTATGACATTTCTGATTCTCTTGATTTACATAAATCATATCAATTAGATTTTAATTCTGTCCTTAAAGATGCACAAAAATTAAAATTTTTCATTCTCTCATCGGATGCAGGAACTGGAAAAACAGCAACATTTGAGCAATTTTCTATTAGAACTAAGAAGACATTTCCATCAAATTGGGTTTCTTATATTAACTTAAAAGATCATAAGGAACTATTTGGGTATGTAAAAGATTTTGATGATTTGTTAGCAATGCTTGAAAATATTTTCGGATTAAATTCTGAAAATGAATTTGAACAGAAAGTTTTTAAGGATCTTTTCAAGTCGGGAAATGTCATTTTATTTTGGAATGGATTTGATGAAATTTCACCAGATTTTAGTGAATCTGTTTTAAATGTTTTAAATCTTATTAAAGAAAATACAAAAAATATTCAATTTTTATGCACAAGACCTTTGTACTCAGAAATGTTAAAACTTAAATTTATCACAACTTCATATGCCTTAATTCCATTCGATAGAGACACGGAAACTAAGTTTTTGGTTGAATTTTTCAATACTCAAAATATTACAAACAGTCGTGTTTATATAGAAAAAGTTTACAATATAACTGCAAAGACTGAGTCACAAGATGATTTTAAAACACCTTTACTCCTAGGAATGATAGCTTATATCCCACGTAACCATAAGTCGACGAATGGAAGATTTTATGTATTACATCAAAATCTTCCATGTATGTTCCATATGTACATTCCATGTATCGTACATTGGACATTATGCTAATATGAAAAGGGACGATTTTTAGTCGATTTCACGTCGATTTCACGTCGATTATTTTTTTGAACCAAAATCAAATTTTTTTTGACCGTTACAATATAAAAACCGATTAACGGGAAAATTTTGAATTTTTTTGTATGAAAATATTTTTTGTTAATTATACTAGAATTTGTAGACAAAATCCAAAAAAATTAATTAAGGATTTTGTCTTTGAAAAAAAGAGTCGAATACTTCATTTAAATGAATGATTCGCATGCAATTAATTTAATTAATTAATCGCACTTTGTATGAAAATTTGGCTGTGCCTTATATAAGTGATTTCTGATTGCACTTGTGAAGTATATAGCGGCTCAAGAAAAACGACGTGTAATGGATGAAAAATCGACGTCTATTGGATCATCCAAAAAATTGTACATTTAAGTCGATTTTTTCATTGACGGCGATATTGGTTACGTGGGATAATATCAAATGATGAACAAATTTTCTTATCTGAAAATCTTTATGACATTTATCAGAAATTTGTAGTACAAAAGTATGACATTTGGAAAGATAAAAGTGTCATTGTTGCTAATTTATTTGCAAGTGGATATGACATAAATTTACTTTATCAAAAATACGCAATGAAAGATAGTTCGCAAATATTTTTATCATGTTTCTCATGTCAAGTGAATTTAAAAGTAATGCGTCGTTTAAAACCGGCTGAACTTACAAACGATGAAATCTCACAAATGGCAATATTGTATATTAATGGTCCAAGACATTTTAAATTTGTTCATCGAACATTTACTGAATTCTTTATTGCGCAATATTTGATTCGTAATCTTTATAATGCTTATGATGAGCCATCATTAGAGGAAGCTGAATTAAGAATTCGAATGTTTTATTATTCATTTTATTCTCCTGGTGTTGTTAAGTTTATTGATTCATATCTTCAAGCTGAAAATAAATCTCTTACTATAAACTTTGATCGAAATATTTTGAAGCTTTTTGAAACGAAATTTCGAAATTTTTTTATTAATGGCTTTTTGCAAGCTCGTGAATACTTTTCATTTCCAATCCTTTTTGAATTCTTTAATAAAAATGATACAATTTTAAACTATCTTCTTCAAATTGATGAGAATGAAACATTTTATACAAAGATTTATAATTATGCTTATTTTTCATGGTATTCAATTTATGATAATATTGAAACTTCCATAAATCATTTAGCATCAAAGAATTTAAAGAGAGAAAAATATAATAAATTCATTAATGGTCAACATCAAAAAGGAATCACATTATTTAGTTTATATTGTTTGCATAAACAAGGTAAAAATGTGAATTTACATAAAGATTTTAAATCAAATGAAATTATTTTCGAAAGTAATGATCCTTTTTTCGTGTATAATTCAGTTTTAGAAAACTTGACTGATGTCGAATCAAAAAGTTTTATTCCATCGAAAACAATTTTAAATTACATCTCCTTGAATCCAGAAACTTATATTTTTGACGAAATTCTGTGGATTGCAATTGAAACTGAATTAACAAAAGAGGAATTAAAATCTTGGATTTTTGATAATATTGACTATATATCAATAATAACACAAAAATATCTTTTCAACTTTTTTGCAAAGAAAATTGACAAAATATTTTCAAATTCAGAAATTCATGAAATGTTTTTGAATAAAAAGCTTTTACACATTGCAGCATCTTATGATCCAGATACATTCCTAGAATTGTGGTATTTTTATTGCAACCACACTACACCAGATGAACAGAAACTAATTTTAACTCAGAAATCTGAACTTGAATGTTTAATTGAACCGCCGTCTTTCGTTCCAAACACAGATTGCTACTTAATTCCACCACATAATGTCCTTCAGTTTTCATTGTTTACTTATAGGCAAAATTTTGATTGGAATTTTGAAACTTTTACTAAAGTCACAAATGTATATAAAAATGTTTTTAATAATACTTTAGAAATTCAAAAAATAATTTCAAATTCAAACGATTTTTTGCTTACATTTATAATTTATCAAGATTATGAATTTTGTGAAAAATTTGCAGAATTCTTAAAAGAACTTTTTGTTGAAAACGAAACAGATTTAAATGAATTTTTGTGTAATAATATTGCATATAAAAATTTAGAAACATTCAAGTTTTTGGCTAGCTTTTATACCGAAGACAAAAAAACTGGTTTGTTTTTCAAATTGTTTGATGAAAAAAATTGTAAAAAAGAGAATTTCTAATAAATATTGAATTTTTTTAAAATTAAATCTAAGTATTGTTATGTTGATCAATTTCAAGCATCTAAGCTTAATTACCTGATCATATTTGACACAAATTTTTGACACAATCACTCAAATGATATCAACCAATTAATGAGTCATTAATATCCAATAATAAGTTAATAGACATTGAAATCAAATCAACAATAATTTTTGCAATGAAAGTTTTTTAACTTCATTAAAATGTTGTTGATTTGTCGGAACAAGAAGTATAACTTAATTTTTATTTGGGATCGTTCATTTATGACGTCCAAAATTAACTGTCATTTTTCAAAAAATAAACAATGAATTTCCAGGAATTTCTATTGTTGTTTTTTCTTGCTGACTCACCCCCCCCCCCCTTTGGACGTCATAAGAGAACAGTCCCTTTAATGATTGTTTCATAATGACTCAAAACTATTAAACAAATAATTAGAAATTTACAACATCTAATTATGAGTGAAATTTATTCATTTGTGAATATTTGGAACTTGTCAGTGAATTTTGATCGATTGTGGTTGATACTGTAGATAGAGATCAAATTTTGAGGAACTGTTTTATAACTTAAGTTCATCCAAAAAAATCTCAAACTGACCCTCCTATCCCCAAAAGTTGTATAAAACTTGCATCAATAAACATTTGACAGCATTTCCAATTCAGCTTGCACTCAAAGGTTTCAATTAATTCATGCCTTAATGTAAATCACTCCGTAATTTACCATCCACATTTACAAATCACATAGTAATCAACTAATTGAGTTACAAGTCCATAACCAGTCCACAGACCGATCAATCTCCACAAACAATAAAAATTTCTCTCAAAATCAACTTGCATCACTTACATAATACCCGAAAAACATCTCATTAGTGCCTAAAATAACACAAAAGTTTCTACTTCCAATTTCAATTGAAACAGTAGCTAGCTAACAGTAGGCACACATGTGATTTTGAGTGATGATTATTAGATTTAGTTGTAATATGGGCGTATTGAGGCATTGATCATACTTTAGAATGCCTAACTTTCGCTTCCCAAGTGTCATTCAAGAAATAATGAAATAAAAGTATCAAAAAATATCTCCGACTCGACTTGTGTTTGTATACTTGAGTAAATGGAAACAGTTTTCTTATTTTCAGTTTTAAAAAATAAACAAAGAAAGAGAGAAGAATGGAAGTACCGCATATGGTAAGCTATGGATGGGTATTGTATTTGAAGATTTTTTATTTATTTTTTGCGATGTTTTTTTTTTCAACTGTCCAAATATTTCTCAGACCATTAGACTCCCTACATGCACCCTAATAATCATATCATGACTAGAAAGCTCAACAGAAAAAACGTTTCAAGGACAAGAATTTAATTCCATTCCACATGCACAGTAATATCCAATGAATAAAACCTCAACACTGTTAAATTATCGCACAGCCAACAGCTCGTAAAAAAGAGCTTTAATCATGCGCTAATGTGGTGCAAAATAATCTCAATTTAACACTTTTACATGCCCAATATAATGAAGTTTATAAGAAATTTTTTATAATATTCACTTATACCTTACAAAGAATGTGGTCATGTCACGTGGGAAGAAAATTACAATTGCACGCAAAACTTTCAGTTTTCATTCGGCTCCAGTTTGACTGATAATGTGGTGAAAATTATGGCAAAGAAAAATCTGCTTTGATGAGGACCGCGACTCATTAATTGTTATGATTATTGTTGCCAGCTTGTTGTGCATGACCATAAGAAGATAACAAGCTTAATAGCTAGTTATGGAACTAAAATGACAAAACCAAATTTGTTTGTGCCAAGCATAGAAGTTCAATGGATTGTAGACTCCCAAAAAGAATATTTTTTACGATTATTTAATTTCTTGATTTGAGCAGAAGTATCAACACTTGCTTATTCGAGGTGGATATTAATAAATTTATTCGAGTCGATTCTTGTTGTTTTCGTTATGAATGAATTGTTGACAATTCGAATGAAACGAGGATTGGCTATGGAACGTTGAGATTTACAGTTTTTGCTATGGGGGTGTTCACAAATGACGGTAAACTTAATTCTAAAATAAAACATGGTTTATGCTCAATAACTGACTAACTTGATGATTTATTAAATTTTTTCCATGAATTTTAAACTATAAACTTTCACCATTTAAAGTTGTTTTTGCTATTTCAAGGTTATCCCAAAGGTTGTTTCTCTAATGAACACTACAATCTTCTTTTGGCGAGTCATTTGGACAGCAGTAAGGACTTAAAGAATTATTTGAACAGCAATAGGGGCTTGTTGAGTTGTTAATACAGCAGTAGGGACTATTAGCTCCATTGTCACAGCAATAAGGTAATTTTTGTCCATTCTCACAACCTTTTATTACCTTTTTCTTAATGCCACAATCTGGCTCAGTGGAGTTATTGCCACAGCAGTAAGGACTAGTCGAGTTGTTGATACAACAGTAAGGACTTGAAGATCCATTTTCACAGCAATAAGGTAGCTCTTGCCCGTTCTCACATCCTTTGATCTCTTCCTCAATACCACAATCTGGTTTTGTAGAGTTATTGCCACAGCAGTAAGGACTAGTCGAGTTATTGATGCAACAGTAAGGACTTGAAGATCCATTTTCACAGCAATAGGGAAGCTCTTGCCCGTTCTCACATCCTTTGATCTCTTCCTCAATACCACAATCTGGTTTAGTAGAGTTATTGCCACAGCAGTAGGGACTAGTCGAGTTATTGATGCAACAGTAAGGACTTGAAGATCCATTTTCACAGCAATAGGGAAGCTCTTGTCCATTCTCACATCCTTTAATCTCTTCTTCAATACCACAATCTGGTTTAGTAGAGTTATTGCCACAGCAGTAAGGACTAGTCGAGTTATTGATACAACAGTAAGGACTTGAAGATCCATTTTCACAGCAATAGGGAAGCTCCTGTCCATTCTCACATCCTTTGATCTCTTCCTCAATACCACAATCTGGTTTTGTAGAGTTATTGCCACAGCAGTAAGGACTAGTCGAGTTGTTGATACAACAGTAAGGACTTGAAGATCCATTTTCACAGCAATAGGGAAGCTCCTGTCCATTCTCACATCCTATATTCTCTTCTTCAATTCCACAATCTGGCTTGTCAGAACCATTTCCACAGCAGTAAGGACTAGTCGAGTTATTGATACAGCAATAAGGACTTGATGATCCATTTTCACAACAGTAAGGTAGCTCCTGTCCATTTTCACACCCTATGGCTGCATCAATGCTACAATCAGGTTTTTCAGAGTTATTACCACAGCAGTAAGGACTTGTTGAATTGTTGATACAGCAATAAGGACTTGATGATCCATTTTCACAGCAATATGGCAGTTGTTGTCCATTCTCACATCCTACTGCTTCATCAATGCTACAATCTTCTCTTTCAGAGTCATTTGCACAGCAAAAAGGGCTTAAAGACTCATTATCACAGCAGTAGGGACTTTTGGACCCATTGTCGCAACAGTAAGGGCTTGCTGATCCATTATCGCAGCAATAAGGTGGAATCTTGCCATTTTCGCATGCACCTAAGTGTTGGAAAGTTATATAATTAAAAGATTGATCTTTGGTAAGTAGGTGACCAGGGAAGGTCTCAAAAGATACCAACCCATACTCCATTCTACAGGGCAAACCCTAAGGATATACATTTGCAACCAGAAATTTCTGTGTAGGTCTATAACAAGAAACCAAATTCAAAGAAGGCACCTCAACATTTTTAATTTTGACCTACATAGGTTTAATAAATTTGAGGAATGCTGACACATACCAATAAGGAACCGGTACTTAGTCATCATTGGGATACCCAAGAGTTATACCAAAGAAGGCTAAGCCGGTTTAGTGTTCAAATACACTCAAAGCTTACACACTTACACTGTCAGACTCAACAAAATACAGTTGCATACTCAAATTCAATACTAACCTCTCTTGAATCTCGCCTTATTCACATTCACTTGCTTATCATACAATTTCATTCTTAAGGGTTCATCATTTCCTATATCAATTGCTGAAACAAAAGCCACAAACACTGCCAAAATAATTAAATGTTTCATGTTTTACTGGTATTTTAAGTTGTTGCTTGCTAAGAGTCAACACGTCTACTGTTAAAATAGTCTTAGTGAATATTGCTTTTATAATATTTTCATACGTTTATCATGAACAAACGAGAGAGAAATTTTTTATACAAACAAGAAAAATAAAGATTTTTAACCTTTAAAATGGTGACTATCCGTGTCTTTTTGGACGGAATTTAAGTTTTTTAAAATATTTTAAACTGCCAAAAAAAAAGTTTTTAAAATTTTAATGATTTTTAACATTTTAATTCCGATGGTCACCCCAAGCTTAACTGTATTATCATGTTGTCGTTTTATTTATGACTGAAACTTTTTCTAGAAACTCATTTTAATGTATTCAAAGTTAAGTGATTCATATGATTATAGGCAGCATATTGAATACTTAACACATGTTGTTGTTGTTGTCTTAAAAATGCAAGTGTATTTTTCTTTATTTTATTAATTCATTGATTTATTAAATTAAATAAATTACAATTCGACAATACTAGCCAACCAATTAAGATGATCAGCAACTTTCACGAAGATATCCTACAAAATAAATTTAAATAATTTTAAAAAAATGCAAATTTAAATAATTTTCTATTAATAAACTCACAGGTTTCCCGCCATTGCAAGTTGTTTGTGATGCGATACCGACTAACCCAGTTGGCCTTACAAGGGGTCCTCCGACGTCTGTTGTGCATGCACCACTTGATGTCTCAATAACGCAGTAAAACTCACTCATGTAAAGACTTTGGTCAATTATGATTCTTGATCTAGATAATGTGTCATTTGTGAAGCAGTTGTCTTGATTGACTACATTGACTGTTGAATATTGAAGTGTTGATGCACTTGGACCTTGTTTTTCATCTTTTGCTCCCCAACCTGCAATCTTTAGGACATACGATTTGGATATTAGTCAAATTTGCTATCACATTTAATTGAATGAGTTAAGATGTGATTGTAGTGTCAGTCTAGGTGCTACTATTTTGTAATTTTTCTATGTCATGTGACATTCGGGCTTTATACCATCAAGTTATTCAAGTACAACATGATGTACATCGTATTTACAATTTATACTGAGTAGTTTCACAGAACACATGCTTACCATGCCTTCAAAATTGTCATTCTGCCTGAAAGTGTCGATGAAAATTGGAGCAATTGAACCAAAGTAAATTCGACATCTAGGAACACTTCTGTCTGATTCCACCAAAGCTAAACTGAAGGAGAAACAAAATGGGTAAGAGATTCAAGCTCACAAGAGAGTTCACAAGAGTCAAGAACTACTTAAAAAGTTCTAGCTTAGTCTTGGAATTATAAACTAGTTCAAAAGACTCACTTGTAAGCGAAATTCCTTGGCGAAAATTCAGGATGAACATGCAATGTATTTCCATATGTAGTCCATCCAGGAGGCTCCATCTTGTTCTTAATATTAACAACTCCCATGTGCATTTCAATGTCATATGGAGTCTGAAAATTAGATACTGCAGTGGCTGCAGTCAACACAAATTTAGGATTGATCAATGCACCACCACCAACGTGCTTTGATGAATTTCTATACCGAATCGAGACCATGTATGGAAATTGTCGTAGTTCCGCTTCTCTTCCATTCAAAATTCTTCTTAAAGAACCTTTTGACTGTGACGCAACTTCAGATGAATTGAATTGAATCACGAAGATTATTAATAAATTTGTTATTCTTAACATTTTTTTGTGCTTCCTAAATGAATTGTGGACACTTAAATAAAAGTTTAAACTCGAACAATAGCTGCAATTCTCATTTAAAGCTCCAACAAACTTGTACTGTTTACTTTTCAGACTCAGTCAAGCCACAATTTAAAGCATTAAAATTCTTATTTAACCATTAAGTTTTAAATTGAAGCATTAATATTGTTGAATTATTAAGCTGACACAGCTCATATGTGAATTATAGCTAGTCTTCTTTGACTGCAAATTGATGAATAATGTCTTTAATTTAATTCTTGCCATCATTATCTCAATTAAGTGTAAATGTTCAGTTAATTTTTAAAAATAATTAATCAGCTATTAGTGGTCAATAATTGAGTATATACAGGTAAAATTCTGGATTCTGAGATTTGGAGTTAAAGCAACAACTTAACTTGATAATGAAGCTAGCTTGCCACGTATCATTTAGGATGTAGATGGTAGTTCTAAAATGTTGTGAAACCTTCCTTAAAAAATTGCATAAAAATTTCTGACAATCCAATTTATGACGTCACATGTGAATATTCCCTTAACAGTTAACAAAAGCTAATAATCCACATGAAGGGCGAAAAGACCAACCTTAAGTACAGAATCGCTCCATCAGCACAACAATAAAAAAAATCTACAGCATCTTTAAAAGTCATTAACGACAACAAAGCAATCATAAAATTATGCTTGAAAATCCCTTCAAGCATCTGCGGCTTCATTTCAACTCATAAACACAGTCAATCATTTCAAAAGTTTTAAAAAAAAAGACAATGAGATAGACGGAAAAGTAAATGACATGCGGCATTTACCTTGAAATTACTTCCTTCATGGTCATCTATGGCACTCTTGTCAGAAATTCTCAATTCTTAATTAAATTAAAATTAGCAAGTCCAAAAAAGTCATTGAATGGGACTTAAAATTTGTATTTGGACTGAGATATAAGCTAGGCGTTGATGTTCTTATTGAGTTTCGCATGCGTAAAAATAATGAATTAATTAACGCATTTTTAGATTGTTGGCATAAATGGAAGTAGAGGTTCTTTGACTTGTTAATTGGTTCTAAGTGAAATTGCTGTGAATTCTATTTTTGCAAATTTGCTAGAATCATAAATGGTTGGTGTAAGATTCCTTGTGAAAAGTCCAGAAGATTTAATGATTTTAATAAATATTTTGGGTGCAAAAACTCTAGATTCGCATGGATTTTTCAAGAAAGAATCATCAAATTTAAGCTTGCCATCAAAAATCTCCTACAAAATCCCTACAAGGACTCTCCACATCATCTCATCTAAACGATTCAGCTAGCTGTCATCACCTCTACATCCACAATGCATTACATAACAAATCAGCATCATTGCATGCACATGCTGCATAATAATAATATTACGATTTATTTCAAGATTCATGCAATGGCAATTATGATCTGTATCTGCGATGAGGAGATAAATGTCTTTGCGACTTGAATGTATCCAACATTTGCTTCTGAATGAAGAATTTTGTTGCATGCTAAATTATGAAATTGCATGACTTCTTGTATTTTGTCTCTGCTTATTTATCTTTTCTTATTTTTTTTCTAGTTAATATGTTGAAAAAAAATTGCTTTCTTCACCTTAGTTCATTTTAAATTCATCAAAGATTCATTATTGTCGTCTATTCTTGCCGCTAGTTGATGGACGATGGTGAGGAACTTATCAGGTATAAAAGTTGTGATTGAAATGATTCCTCAATTTTTAAAAATTGTTTCTGAATTTTCAAAAATAGTTCCTGAATTTTCAAAAATTGTTTCTGAATTTTCAAAAATTTTTCCTGAATTTTCAAAAATAGTTCCTGAATTTTTAAAAATTGTTCCTGAATTTTTAAAACCATTCCTAGACTGTCCAGCCACAAAAGCTGCAAACCCTTCCTTAACTTAATGTCAATGCTATACAAACGTCATTCACCATCAAAATGCATAAAGGCGGAAACATGCAAAGTCACAGAGGAGAGTATTAAAGTGTGTGTTTATGTAGATCATGTATCATAGATATGCTCATACTTGCTTTAATAATATTGATGCGCATTGTTGATGACTTTAAATATCTTCAATCTCACGATCATGTTAATGATTCACAATCTACTTTATTCTCTTTTATTCTTGATCCGAGGAGTCTTAAATTGAAATTCATATAAATTGCTTGCTAGTCTATGCTATGTAGATGTATGTTACCTAACAATTTTATTTTTCGTAATCTTCTCTTACCTTTCATTTCGCTTTTTTTTTTGTTCTTTCTTTTCTTCTCTCGGCTGCTCTTTTTGTAATAATCAATGCCATTATATTGTAGTCAATATGTCTGTTTAGGTCAACGATATTCATCGATTTTCGTTATTGTGCTTAACAGATGACCTTAATCTATTCATGTGCCGATTAATTTCATTTTTCGGAATCTTTTCAAAGATGCAGGAAGTTGCAGAATAAGTAATTTTTTGGGAATATTTCTTTTTGGATAATAATTAGTGAGTTTAGTAATAATTTGATGGCTTTGAAGATTTGGCTAATAAGTCAAGGGAATTTGATCTGATATCTTCCCTTTTTTGGGTTGTCATGTCGTTGAATGCTGTTTGATTGTTGTGAAACTGACGGAAATTGATGACTAAGTTGGAGATACATAAGAATTATTAAAGGTGAACCTGAGGTACATTCAGGAATTTTTGATCAAATTGGAATTATTCATACTTATTCATTTTCATGACTGCAAACTAAATGTACCGAAACTTTATTCTGCGAACGAGTAAGTTCCTCTACAAATGCGCTTTAGTTCCCATGGTAATTTTCATTCAATATCCCACTAATCATCTTCATTCATTCTTGCTTTCTTTCTCTTTTGATTGACTTCACTGATGTTTTGCCTCCACACATTTATTTACATTTCACATGAGAATATTTGCTGAATATTGTTTAAAATTCATTTTTTAAAGATCATGCTTAGTATCTTTTCATGCAACTCTACTGGTGTGGATTAAAATCATTTACTGAATCTTACATTGATTGAAAGTCATTAGGTTGAAATGGGAGAAATTTGGAAAGATAATGTTACTATTTAAGAATTCTTACCACACTACTAAGTGAAAGCTACAATTCCCAGTGCAACATTGAACTACAAATTACCACGACCCACCTGTTGAATTATCCCACATGTCTGAGCTTCAAATTTCATGTATTTTGAAACTTTTAACAACATCCAAACATTGAGTATGCAAATAATAATTTTAAGTAGTTCAAGAGGTTAATTATTACATTTTTGTCAGACTTGTTAAAACTGATTGTTTACAAACATTGCAAAAATGTTGTCCAACAATGCCATTTTAACCTCTCCTATTCCTTTTCGTCTTCACCGTCCTCAAGATTTCTATTTAAATTTGTAGTAACGATAAATATGTGTCAAATTTATGCTCAATTCAAGATGATAAATGAGTTGTTATGAAATCTTATGCAAAAAAAAATAGATAATCGATAATCATAATAAATGGAATGATTAGATAATAAATAATATGAATGCTGGGCTTTTGATTGCAATCAGACTGAAAAAGATCAAAGATTTTTGAAATAAATAAAAAATTATTATTTTGGACATCGCGAAAAATTTTCTTTGATTTAATTTCGAAAGTTTTTGAATCACTTGTTAATATTAAATTATGATGCACTGCAGGTCGACTTTACTTTCATTTTTTATTGAGTTAATTTTTTTTTATTAAATTAAAATCGGATTTGTACTGCAAATTGGCTGTTCAATGACATATTGAGGTAATCGGTGGTCTTATCAGAAATGCCTTCGAGGAATTTTTTTAAATATAATAAAGAGCTTGTAATAATAAGTTGGAAACACTGTGGATAATTAATTAAAACTATTTTCATGATAATTTTATAAATTTTTGCATGATTTTTTTTATTTTAAAATGTAAAAGTTGTAAATATTAAAGTTAAGAGTTGCCGATTTTGAAGGTTAATCGAGTTCTTGAGTCGTGATTGGCAATGATAGTGAATATTGGTTTTATTTTATCATTTTAATTTAAACTTGACCTAATTAAATTTAATTAATTTGTTCTGCTCTGTAGTTCACTGATCTTTGAAAAATTAAAATTCGATTGAAAGTTTGAATTTTGAATATTTTAATCATTTGCTTCTGAATAGGATTTTGATAAAGTAGGTCTCAAACTCAAATCTCCTAATTCTCAAAGATTGTTCAAATTTTTAAAATTATTGATAAATTTTTTAAAATTATAAGTTTTACTGCAACTTCAATTAATGACCAAGTCAATTTTTTCATATTTTTTATAACGAAGTTTTTTTCCCACGAAAATAAAAATTTTATTTCCAATCATTAATTAGCTTTGCCATAAAAATAGATCAATATTAACAAATTTCACAACATTCTACATTCATTAAAAAATTGCTCGTGCAACTTTACTTCAACCACGTGTTCAACATGTCCCTTAATTAATCTAATTTAAATAGACTAAAATATTTAACTTTAACGAACCTAGTAAAATGTTATTTTATAAGATTTCAAAAATTTTAAACTCATAAACACATAGTAAAATATCGTAGGACTTTCTTTAATGCCTTCAAAATATTTTGTAACAGTAATTAAAGCACTTTAGGCTGTACAAAAGTTTCAATTCAGAATTTAAAAAAAATCATTACAAAGTAAAATCCGAGATTAAAAGTCACGCTTTTGTATGTTAACAAAGTTAAGCAATCCCACACTATACTGGATCCATACAATGTATAAACTTTAAAAAAGTTTCAATTTCTCTCTTCCTTCCTATTCGAATAAAAAAAGTCTACAATCTCATAAATAATTTCGGAAAATTGCCAATTTGCATACAAAAATCCATTTTTTTTCGCATCAATTAAATATTAAGTGGCATTTAATTAAATTAGTTGGAGTTAAACTTATAATTATGAGATTTATAGTGTTCGAATGTGCTTATTATGATCATTGCAAAAAATATATATATAAGCTTACAAATGAGATGGTGAGAAAACATATAATCATCAATTGATTCGACTTCCATCCAATGCACACATTTGTAGGATTCAAAGTTTGATAGACATTGCTTGCTAGTAATGTATTAGGCGCAGTTGTTATTTTTAAAGATAATAATAAAATAGTAAATGTTTAAAAATTAAATTTGAAAAATAATGAATTTTAGAAATTTGAAAGGTGTAAATTTAAAAATGATAAAAGTTAAAAACAAAATAAATTTTAAAAATCGATAAGTTGAAAATTTAAAAAATGTTAAAAATTTAAAAAATGTTCAAAATGCTCAAAACTTTAAAAATTTGAATATTTGAGATATTGAAAAATTAAACAATTGAAATATAAAAATTTGAAATCAAAAAAATTTAAAATTAAAATTAACAAAAAGAAAAAAAATCTAGCTTAATTTTATAACAATTTAAATTGTATTAATTTTTCTAGCTCCACCCAAATTGACCTACTCATCTTCATAGTATTTTTGAAAAAAAAATTCCTTCAAATACAAAATAAAGCAAAAATAAATCAAGAAGAAGTAAAGAAAAGAAAAATAAAATAAAGTTGAGGAAAAATCTCTTTACTACAGCAAATACGAAATTAATAGCTGTAATTTTAAAATCTACAAATGAAAGCGAAAGTAAATAAATAAATACTCGTATTTAATACTATTTTGTTAGTAATACTCACTCACTTATAAAGTTTTTAAACCTTTCACGATACTAATGAATTCACGATCGTAATAGTCTCTGAATGCACGACACTGCGATTCAGTTTTAAAATTTGACGAGCTGCCCCATAGTATCACACTATGACCGCCTTCTGACTTTATTGTTTTGAGGATGTTCATCATGTCAGACTGAAGATGAGTAGGAGAAAAATTGTTATTGTGTTGAAAAAATTATGAAATTCAATAAAAATTATAAAAGTGAAAATTAATGCCTAGTCATGGGGAATGAAGGCTTAGAAACTAGTTTTTTTACGAATCTTATCGATTTTCATGACTTCACATGAGACTGTTCTCCTATCCTCAAATCCTAACCCCAATCCCCCCAACCCTAGCCACCCGGCAAAATGTAAAATACTCAACTTGTTTCATATAATCTTTTGAGTCAGTATATTCATATCGAATAAATGGCAATAGCTTCACATTGGTGCTGTTATCCATCATCTTTGCCAGCCTTCTCGTCTCGTACATTTTACCTTGCACAAATTTCGTCAATGCAGTATCAGTTTGATTTTTTGAGATGTAAATTGAGGTATAAATCACACCGCTGTACAAAAACATTAGCTTATTATTTTCTGTCTCAACAATATCAGGACATTTCTCTAATTGCGTACGGTAACGATTAAAACAATGCGGATATCCATAAAATCCCCACAATGCATTCGGTCGCAATTTTCTTGCACGTCGAATTGTTCGATTCATAAAATTCAAGGCTCCATTTTCAAAAAGAGTTGTAGCTTGTGCCTCAATTTGATCTCGCGTCCATGTTGGATGTTTTCGATTAACATAAAGCAACGTTGATTCCTTATAAATCTTATGATCACCAAAGTTTTGCCGAAATATTGGACGCCATTCTTCAAAATCAACAACAGCAATGCCATCATACGTCTTGTTAGGAATTTGCTTATCGATGTCAATCTGTAGCTGCGTTAAGTGATCATTGATACTTCCATTGAATGGCAAACCTCCATTTTGATAAATTAATCGACCAGTTTTATCGAAGTCTATAGTTGGCCACTTACCAGGATTGTACAATATGACAACTTTATCGCCTCTAGTATGAAATGAGATGTTAATTGATTAATTTTACACCATATGTGCATATGTAACATGCATGCTAGCTCACCTAACGCTGTCGTTTGTATTTTGAATTATATCGCCCGACGAAATAAGATCTGTGAAGTCGACTTTAAACCTGCGACAAGAATTTGTCGGTACGGACCAATAAATCTTAAAATTGCTGTAAAAAATTAAAGAGAGAATGTAAATTAAGTGTCATGTGATATCCTTTGCGGAGATTTCAGATTATTTTTTTATGATTTTTCGGATAGTGAACCCCTTGTAAAAATTCTCAGTTACTAGCTTGAACATTTAAAATTCCACCAACTAGCCCCAAGGACAAAAATCATTCAAAAAAAGTTCTTATCAAAAATCTCCCACCAATTTAACATTCTCACATGTCTTTAAGACCTCATTAATCATATTTGCACATATTAGTCCACAAAACACATTCCAAATGACCTTCAACAATCTACTCACTTTTCTGCTGTACGAAAAAAGAAGTTGTATATTATAAGAAATAGAAAATACATTCCAACTTCTTGCTGACACTTGACGATATTTTAATTATTTTTTATGCCACTCTTTAGCAGCATTTCTCATGTGCAGCTGCTTGTTTTACTGCTTTTATAGTCAAATTATGGGAAATGATAATTGTAATTAATTTGCATTTTATGAATTTGTTAAATTAAAATCAGTATTAAAATGATATTGTGTAAATGAATGGGCTGGTTTAATTGCTGGGTAAACTGTTAGATGATAGGGGGAAGGCTTATTGGTAATGTGGATGTAATGAGGGGGTCGTTATAGATTTAAAGTACTCAATTTAGCTGCAAGTCATCAAGATTCTTACCAAACCTTCTTTGTACCCCTGATAACATTACTAATCCACTCAACAAAATCAAACCCCAACAAACCACAGTCAAACAAGCCCAACTCAATGTAGAAATGCTGGTTCTACAAGCGACCCAATTTTACAGAGATTAAATTGGTTTAATTCATTTCACTTATCTTGTAATGCAATGTTTTATATTCATAATAAATGACTGAATGAAGTTGCATCGCCTGGGGATATAATCTTATTTACATGAGCTTGTTTTAACTTGCATTAATGCACTTTTTTCGACTCATTGTTTAATTTTTGAATTTTTATCTTGTTTTCTGCAATCTAAGTTGGTCAAGAACTTTTTAATTTGGTTTATTGAAGAAAAATTTTTGAAATTTTGTTGAGGATAAGTTGTGATTTGTGGAAGATTTAAGGCTTGATCTGTTGAGGAGTTGATTAATTTATCAAAATTGATTTATTGACTGAATAATAAGAGCAACAAGAAGGATTAAACAGCAGCACAATCAACGATAATCGAATTTGAGGAATCAAAAGTGGCCTGTAATCTTCAATCTAGAGTTTTGATGATCTACAGTCTATCATCTCCCCTAATATCAATCTAGACAATCTCAATACAGCTCAAATTCACACCATAAAGACACAACAAGCAATAATGAAGCTTAGCAAAAAATCAAACAATTCAGAAGAATTATTTGAACAAATTGACAGGCTAAAAACTTTCTGTGGCCTTGGCATTCAAAATTCTGAGGGTGATAATTCCAATGTTGATGTCAAGAGGGCGCACAAGGTAATGAAAGTGAATTTTTTTGAGATTTTGCAAAACTTTGCAGGTTATAGAGATGTTCAGCTCTGGTAGAAGAAGTAACTTGAGTTGAAGATACTTGCCCTAGCAGAAATTTACTAGTAATTTACTGGATAACTTTCCATTTGAAAAATTGTAACAAAATGTAACATAGGGGGGGGGGGTCAAGAATTATGTAACGTTCTAATTGTCGTCTGTCTTTGTGAATTGTAACATATTGTAACAAGGAGGGGGGGGGGGTGTAAAAAAGGTCGTTTTTTTGTGTAACGTAATAAGTGAACGGCCCCAAAGTCAAATACTGATGAACGCCCATGATTCGCACGCAAACCTGAAGAAGATAAATAATTCATTAAAAGTCACTTACAAATTTGGATCGAGCTTATAAAGGTGATTTCTGCGCGCTCTTGTGAAGTATATGGCAAATGCCAAATTTAGAACAAAATTTTTTATGACGCAAAAAATTCTTTTTTTGATGATTTTTCGTAAGATTCGAACTTAAGCAGATTTGATCAAACATTTCACATGGTAAATTGCTAGTAAGTTTCTATTAAATAGCAAGTATAATTTACTAACAATAAGTTGTTTTAATAATACTGGGGGTCCTCGATTTGAGTAGATTCTATTTGAGTAGATTCGATTTGAACAGAAAATTTTTTACCCACCAAAATATTCGATTTGAGTAGATTTCTTCCTGTTTTCTTCGATTTGAATTGTTTACAAAACAAATATTTTTGATAAAAACATTTCAGAAAATATTTTTAAAACATAAATTTTACTGCAATAAGCGTGAACTTATCATATTGCTCGAAAAATCAATACTAAAGTTACGAAATTAAAGTAAAAATTTAAAAAATCGATATAAAATTAACGGTTTTAAAAAGTTCAAATTCAAAAACCCTACAAATTGTTCGGTGAAATAACATTTGCAAGGCTCTCATATTTTTGTTTTGTTTCAAAAACAAATTTTTTGTGAATTTCTGTTTAATAACAATATGAATATGCGTTGAAATAAATTAAGGTATCAAAAACACATAGGAAAAGCTAAGAAACGAGGTAAAATGTGCAAAAAATTATCAAAATTTTCATTGTTTTGATACATTTTTTGGACTCTGGAACAAAACATGTGATTTTGTATGGATTCTTTGCCTCGATTTGAATAGATTCGATTTGAGTAGAATTTTTTTGGAACAAAACAACTACTCAAATCGAGGACCCCCAGTACTAAGTTGTTTTAATAATAACTAGTAAATTGCAAGTAGTAGAATAGAAAGACTAGCAATTTGCTAGTTCGTCCCGTTAGGGTTAAAATAACTTACAAGACTTAATTAAAATTAAATTGTAGACAAATCCCTCGAAATTCGATTTAAATCCTGCACCATGCAATAGTCACACCAGTTTGGTGCAAGATTTCTGATATATCAACCGACTTATGCCATTCTGGTTAATTCCACAGCAATTAATAATCCTTAAATTAATTTCATCTCAGCGATTTTCAACAAGCTCCTCATGCACATGTATTCAAAATTAAATTAATTAGTTTTATGAGTGATTAATGATTTTATCGAGTGCGATTAATTTCCACAGTAGTTAGTAATTAAAATAATAATTATAAGCTCGTGTCTATCGAATATTCATTGAATATTTTTATTATTTATAAACTCATTAATTATTATATTCAACACATTAATTTCCATATTTCATAACTAATTTCCGTTTTTTCACCCGGATAAAAATAAATGTGTATGGAGATGAGTGACTTTTGTGTAGCTTAACTAAAGCTTATTGAGGATTTTCTGCAGTGAGACTAGATGCTTAGATAGCCTCTTGACCACCCTACAAACCAGTACTGTCCAAATTTTTTAAGCCACGGCACACTTTAGGGGTAAGCCATGACCAAAGTCGCACAGAGCATGCGGCTTGAGTCATTACCAAAAAATTTTTACGGCACACAGTTTGGACAATACTGCTATAAACTATAGACTTTAATTTTCAAAAATAAAATTACTTCCAACTTCATCCACATCCAGCTTCTCAAAAAGATCATTATTAAACTTAACCAAGACACTATCCCAGCTCATAGCACCACAATATCCACAATCCAAGGCTCATATGATATAAATTCAGCGCCAAGTTTCAAGAATATCGATGATATAATCAAATGTTGCCTAATTCTAATCTCAAACACAATTTCGCACCTTTCTATGCGAAAAATGTCAAAGCAGCCAATTATAAAGGTTCGACAAAGATTTCGCGAAATATTGTCGATGCTAATTGTGCAAAAATTTGATGATGTCACAGATATAGTCATGAACTTTTTACGTGATGAAATGTTTTGCGATGGATTCGTTGCTGATGTTTTCAAGTCATTATGGTCATGCCGAGAGCAATGTGAAGCTATACTTGATAAAATATTGAACTTGATTGAGGAACTAGTGATTGTGAATCGAGTCAATGAAGCGAGATGCATTGTGAAAGGATTGTCGAAGAGTATTGACAAAAACTTAGTGGATATGAGCAGTCAAGGATTGTCAAGGCTGTTGTCACTTTATCATTTGAGTGTGGAAGAATTGGAACCGCCGAATAAACTATATCATCTCAAGTACGGATTTGAGAATTCTTTATTGAAAATTTTCAACGTCATGGAAGTCGAGGAACTGACTAAGTTACTCCCAAAATTCTTAAAACTCACATTCGAGACTAAATTCATGACTGAATTGGCATTGAAGGAATTCGCGTTGACCCTAACGCACGCCTTTATGAGACTGTCAAGGAACAAAATTGATGAAAATTTACAGCCTGAAATATTTGAGTTTCTTTTAGCTGCCATGACATTGAACTGTAAGACAAAAAGCTCATTAGCCTGTCGTTATTTGACCCACCTTCTTGATCATTTCAATAATTTTGATGAATTTTCAACGCCAAAAATTTTCTATCAAGGAACACCATACAAAATAAAAATTCCAAGTGAATCAGCAATAAAATTCAATGATGATCATCGACTATTGATTCAGACATCACTTCTCGCAGCAATTAAGCTTCATGGTTGCATAACTAGTAATTTGTGTGCAATTTTCAAGGTCATTTGTATGATGATTGTCAGTTTACCATCATCACATACTTTCATTATGATAATTACAACATTAATGCAGCTCCAGACATTCATGCTCGATGAGGACTCATCAAAATTTACACAAGTCGATAAAAATCACATTCATGCATTTATTGTGTCAATAATGACACTCATTTGTTGGGTAACACGAGCTAAATCACTCACAAAATATATCAATGAGATTGTAAAAGTGAGATTTACTGTTGCCCCGCATTTAAATCCACCATTAAAGAAATTTTACGAATATGAGGATCATCATGTGTTGAACTATAAAGCTGAACTCTTTCTTGATAAATGGGAAATTCGATATTGCTTATGGAATCGATATAAGTTAAATGAGGACAGACTTTGTGACGTTTCTAAAGTTGAGTACTGTAAAAGTGAAAATGGCAATGAGAAGAAGAAAGGAAGACGATTCAAGAAGTTTCATTTATTTGGACGAAGATCAAGTGAACATTTAATGAGAATTGAAAGCTTTCCAAGCTACTTTGAGGAGGAACTGAATAAAATTTGATGATCAAGAACTGAGCAATACACTGTTAATGAATGTTTTCGGCATTCCCTAATTCTTGGCTTCAACTAAGAAACCTCAAAAAGGTTAAAAATAAGGAAGGTCAAGAATCAATTTAAAAATTACTTCAAAATTATCTTCAAGTCATTAACACATTTTGTTTAAATAAATGAAGAAGTGGAATTGAGAATATGAAGTGTTACTTTATAAAGATAAGATGCTGAGACTCAAGTTGCGAAAATAAACTTCAAATGTGATAAAACAAATAATTTATAAGTGGAGCCAAAAATGTTTTTGATAAAGCACTAAGTTGAATTTAAGCATAAACTCGAATAGCAAAAGTCGGTTAATCGATCAGAAATCCGGCACCAAGCTGGTGTGACTCTGGCATGGTGCTGAATCTAAATTAAAGTTAACACCATGCCAGAATCATGTCTGCTTGGTGCTGGATTTGTATTCAATTAACCGACTTGTGTTATTCGGGTAAGCTATTAGAATGAATCAGCAAGTCAAGTGACTTAAAACGAAAACCACATTCTTGGCTATAGACAGCATGTCTTTAAATTTAAAATATTATTTCCCAATGTAGTCATTGATTTATGAATCATCAGAATCATCTGCATGCTAAAAATGAAACTAATCTTCTAATCTTCTAAAATGAAACTAATATGAACACCAAACGTGGTGTATTATAGTGGAACTGCTCGATGACATTTTTTGTTAAAATCTAGAAACAGGTCCACAGACGAAGAATTGTCAATTCATTCAATCAAAAACTCAGCCACTTGTAACAATAACGAGCAAAAAAATTAACACTTAAAAGCATCATGTCACCTTAAGAATGACAATCTTTGTCTGGTCGAAAAAGAATTATTCTTGACAGCCAAGATCTAATCAAATTAAAACGCAGACAAGAGTGTTCATAATCCATTAATAAGCAAGCTTTAATTGTTTTTGAAAACAGGAAATGGTTGAGCTATTATGTGACACTATAAATATATAAAACTTATGTTCTTTTTTGAGATTTTAAATTATTTTTGCAATACCAAAAAAATATTTTTAAATTTGTATGAAGAACTTTAAAAATATTTTTAAGCTTTAAGTTTAAAAGCATTCATAAAAAATATTTTTAAATTTTCCAATTTATCAAAAATTCATTTTTAAAAACATAAAAACCTTTTTAAATTTTTAAAAATATTTTTTAAATCTGAATTTAAAACCTTTTTAAAAACACTTTTTAAATTTTAATTTCTGTATACTGAATTTGTGGTTGTTTAAAAATGATGTCTAAAATCTTTTTAACCAATTTTAACTTTTTGCTTTTTGGTTGGTTTAGTCTGAGTCTGAGTCTTGCGTCTTCTTCTTATAATTTTAGTTGCAGTAGTTCTTGCACGTGGTTTTGGCGTGGTTTTGACATTTTTCCGTTTTGGAGTTGTTTTTAAATTTCTTGTAATCAGTTTCTTTTTAGTTGTTGCTTTAACTGCTGTGGATTTTGTTGTAAATTTCGTTTTCTTTTTTGTTGATTTAGGTTTCTTAGTTGTAGCTTTAATCTTCTTAGTTGTAGCTTTAATCTTCTTAGTTGTAGCTTTGACCTTCTTAGTTGTAGCTTTGACCTTTTTAGTTGTACCTTTAAGTTTTCTAGTAGTTGCTTTAGGTTTTGTGGTAGTTATAGCTTTTTTAACTCCTTTTTTCGTAGTTTTTACAGTTTTAGTGACTTTTTTCGTAGTTCTCGGCTTAACCTTTTTCGTTGTAGTCTTTTGGTTACTTTTGGTTTTTGATTTTGGAGTAGTTTTTGTAGCTTTTTTAATTGCTTTCTTGGTTGTTTTTGCCACTTTTTTAGTGGATTTCTTGGTTGTTTTTGTAACTTTTTTGTTTGCCTTTGTTGTTGACTTTATCAAACCACTGGAACTAGGTTCTGACGAATTAAAGCTAACAGAAAACAAACTAGAACTTAATATTGGAGCTGAACTTTCTGTATTATTTTTGTGAGCCTGAATTTGCTTCCAATATTGTGGAAGTATTCGTGGAACTCCGAGATGATCATCAGATGCGACAAACACTAAATTCGTATTGCTCCAATGCAGTGGAATGTCACTTCCACCAGAATCGACACTTCCAGAAAGATAAATTAAGAGTAGAACTATCAACATTTTAGCTATAAATAGCTGTGATTTGATAGACTCAACTTCGTTTTATATACAAAACTTGAGCTTCATTAAAACACCTCCTTTTATTCAAAGCTCTCCACATGCTTTAAATTACAATTCAAAAAATCAATAGGAAAATGATAAGAAAATTACCTCGTGATTTGGACTTAATTATTTCGACATTAACACGAGCAGTTAATGTCATGATCAAACTTTGAAGTCATGAGTCAATTAATGAAGATGAATATTTGAAGTCATAAAGCGATCAATAATGCTGAACTTTTTACTATTTTTAAAAGGTTCGTACCATTAGGGAGCCTCCCAAACTACATCCCTGTAAATTTCAAAATAATAATTTCTTCAAGACATCTTCCTTATTGCCATTCTTATCAATTTATTGTTTACTTTAAGCATTACAGTAGTTTTATTTACTCAGGTTTGTTGGTTTAAGACTGATCAAGCTTCTACGAAATAAATCGTGAAAATTTTAAACTTACAGTCACGTTTTTTTATAGGAAAAATTAAGAAATCGCAAGTTTTAATAATTAATTCAGTCATAATTAAGGTAGCAAGAAAGATAAAGCTAAGTAGCTCGGGAAAAGCACTCGAATATGTTCAAATAAAGAGAATAGAATTTTGCTATCCAATAAATACTCAGAATTTAGTCTGATCTATTTTTAAACGAGCATAAAAATTTTGCAAACTGAGTTTCATTTTCACACACGTGTCTTCATGTACGCAAAACTAGTCATTCCTAAGCAAAAATAAATAAACACTTATTATGTCACATCTACTCAGATCTTTCATCACCTCAATTCCTCATATTTCATAAATATTTTCCTCTCATTTTCAATCATCACTTGAACAGCATGAAAATGTCCAAAAGAGAGGAAAGAAAAAATTCTTCGTGACGAGAGAATTAAAGAATTTCGGAAACATTTGTGTGTATGTGTCAGCACTCGGATTTTCCCAATGACGTATAATTGTATAGGAAATAAAATTCTTTTTCGCGCATATTTTCCAACCCACACATTCATATGTCGAAGTTTATTACACTTTTACGATCACTTACGATCACTGTACCTCACTATCTTTACATTCACAGTCGCCGCCGCAAAAAAAGAAAATTAAAAGACTTTTATTTAAGTGAAGTGAACATTAGGAGTGAAACATTCTAATTAATTATTCAGTCAATTAGGCCATTAAGTAGTGAGCAGTGATTGTCATTCAGTTCAGTTCTTGTGCATCGTCTTGATTTGTCGCTTTAATAAATTATTAAAAAATATCTTTTTTTTTGGCAAGGAATTTCATCAAGAAAGTGAAAATTAATTATTAATAACTCAATTAAGTCGCGAAAGGAATCAATTTTAAAAATATGCATCGTGTGACATTCAAAATTGAAAAGCAACCACCGCCAGTAACAAATGGAAGTACGGAAAATTTGGAATTATTTCATGGAATCGGAAATACACTTGGATTTAATATAACTGGCGGATCTGACTTTTCTATGCCGATTACAATTTTTCATGTAAGTTATTTTTCACTCGATCTAGTGCAGTTACATACATTCTACTGCTTCTTCTTACTTATTTTCTGTGACGACGTTGTTTTTAGTTTTATTTTTTTCGAAAATGTCATTAAGTAAATTTTCTTTCCTAATAGTCGCCAAGTTTATACACATAACACATAAGATTGAGTCAGTAGAACCAGAAAAAGATCACCCGATGCGCTCTAAATTTATTTAAATTTTATTTGTCTTATTTTCATCAAAATCAGATGATCGTAAACATTTTTTTTTATTTTATTATTTTGGGGGAGCCACTTCAATTTACTTTCATTTTATTTATTAATGGAGGTAATAAAAAAATTCAATCTTTTACTCAGATTTTTTTGCACTCAGAAGTGATTTTTCTCGCAGCTCAAAAAGAGAAGTTTTCATGAAAAATCATAAAAGAAAATAAAAGAAGAGAAGGAAATTGAAAAGAGAAAAAAAAATGTTGACAAGGAAAAACAATCTCGTTGATTGAAAATGTGGGCAATGAATTCCTCTTGAGCTAGGAAACTAGATTTATTAATGTTTACAGTACACCGACCATGAAATTGATTGCAAATGATTTATTATTTGGTTCAATTAAATTTGGGCAGACTGGATTATTGACTTTAAAATCAATTAATTTGTGAAAGATTTGAAATAAAATCTAGGAATTAAGAAAAGTGGCTTCAAGCTTCTATGTACCTATCCTCTTCCTAAAAATGATGCAAAAAATTGAATCAGACTGAGTTCAGGAAGTGCCCCTCCCCCCTCTCGATCATAAATCTATTTTTGAGCAAAATTTCAAAAATCGTTCCTCAAAATTCTGATTTTCTAATCCCAAAATCAACCAGAAAAGTCACACAAACATTTTAAATTACTCAACTACAAAATGTTTTCTGTGTCATTTACTAAATGCCATGACTTCAAACATTTCCATTTAAACATTTTTTTATATCCATATTTTAATATTTTAATTCGCCATCTGCTTTGAAAAAGTTTATTTTATGGACACTTCCACATGGCTTCTGTTCATCACAGAATCATCCAAAAAAAAAAAATTATGAATAAGCTGTAAACGTGAATCATATCGTAAAAGTCAACAGATTTAAGTTTTTCTTCTTCATCAGTTTGATGTCGGAAATGATAAATAACAAACTTTGTCAAAAATAATGTTTTATTTTTCTTAAGAATTGTCAGAAAATATTTTTGTGAAATATTACCACTTTTGTGCTTCGTGTCACTTGCATCATTGACGAGAATTTTGTTATAAAATAATATTAATTTTGAAATTTTGTCAGCCAATTAAATAACAAAATTAAAAATCTTTTAAAAAATTTATTTTCGTCAGAAATTTCACAATGATAATAGCTGCAATATTTGTCACTATTACTCACCGAAATTTCAAAGCTAAACTCAGCTGCAAAACTCCCAAAAAGCACAACAAGAACCACTTCAATCTTTTACAATGAATTTTTCTAGTTCCCATCTTGAATGACTAAGATTGTTAACAGTACTGATAATATTTCCAAAAATTTCTTCATCATCCGACTTGGAATTTCTTTCTTTTGTCTTCATAGCAATAAAGAAAGCTTAGTTTATAAGTAATCATAAATTGATGGCTATAGCGCATTTTTTCAAAATCCAATGCTAGCTCATCAAACATCTCTTGGGCTTCTAAAATTGATATATTGACATAACATACTGATTAATAGGGAGCCAGGTAGACAGACGGACCTATTGAAAGGCAGATGAGAACTCGGAAATAAATTCAATCAGTCATAGAACTAGATAAATGAACTGTCAGATAAAATAAAGGCAAAATTCTTCCACAAAAAAAAGGTCCAATGAAAGTCTCAGGGGTCGTTCATTTACGACGTCCAAAATCAATGGTCATTTTTCAAAAATTTAAAAAATTGAGATTTCCAGGAATTTTTATTGTTCTTTTCTTGCCCCCCCCCCCCCACCCTACTGAATGTCATAAGTAAACGGCCCCCTCATCACATAGTCATTTAATTCTCAATCAATGTATCACAAGATATTAATATAAAAAGAATAATAACTGCTCAAAACAAGATATTATTAATACTTTGAGTGAAATCACTGTATTTATATATTCATAAGCTTATAAGCTGCTGAAACAATTATTGAAGATGAGAAGAATAAACAGTTATTTTTTAAGCAACAAAGCACAAAACTTGTATCAATGTGAGAACATCTTGGAACTCTTTTCTTCTTTCAAGTTGATGTCATTGACAACTGCTGACTTTCGTCTCCATGACTTTATCGTTCATTCGAAATCATTTTCTAATTGGCAGTGCAAAATGCAGACATTTGATAAAGTTGGGGACTTTTCATGCTTGACGGCAATGTTAATGGACTCATTTGCAAGTAAGATCAAGACCAGCATGAGATTTAAGTGATTTCTGATAGAGATGGTGATTTTTGGATTGAATATTCATGTGATGATGATGAGTTTTATTGAATATTTAATTAAGTGGTGTCTTTGTTTGGTGAGAGATGAGAAGAGGTCGGGATTTGGTTGACTTTACATAAAATTTGTGTCTGAAATTAATTTTTCAAAATTCAATCTTAAGACCATCTCATTGGGAGGGGATAAGAGGGACTAATTCAATTAATAAACTTAGGTCTCGAAAAATTAATTTTCCACCTCTAGAGTCAACATTTCAGGTCCTAGTCACGTTTAAGCAATCCATAAATACCCAACAAAATTGTAAATTTTATTATTCAATCTTTAAAAAATAATCTTTAATTAATCTGCTTACTTTATAACTGACAGTTTCTAAATATACATCCATAAGAGCACAAACAAGCTCCCCTCCTGCATCAATTTAATTACTTTAATAGCTCGAATGAAATTTTAATTAATTTAAGAACATTCTAAAATTAATAATCATCAAGTCTCCCCAATTAGAATGTAAGCGAATGAAGAAAAATAAAATCGTGTCATCATTAAGCGAAAGTGATTGATGTCAACGAGTTTGCCAGATTTTTATTTAATTTTCCTCTTCACTATGTGATTATAAATTTCGTGACCGTATTGCAATATATTTTTGTTGCTTAATGTTTACATATTTGACTGTAGAATAAGATTGAGATTATGACACATGTCTGCTACATTTTCCGATATCAAAGTGATGTGCGGTGCGATTTTTTTCATTCATGGATTTTTAATTTGTGTTTGCAAGTGATGGGTGACATTTAATGGGTACGAAAGGGGGTCTCAAACAGGAAGGGATTCTATAAAATATTTAAATTCTTTTGAAATATTTAAATTTAAATAAGCTAGGCTTGTGACTTAAAAATTAAATTTTTTGGAACTGCCTTATAAGCAGAGCTCGAAGTCGACTTGTGATTTTCATTGATTTTGTGTAGTAAAGTCGACACGATTCGATACAAAATTTCATCCACTTTGAGCTCTGCTTATGAGTTAACCCCCTAAGAAGCAGTCACTAAGGTCGTTGAAAATGAAAAACTTTCTAGAAAATTCCAAAATGCGCATCATTTTTCCACACATGTTATCCCCCTCATACTTTTTTCATGAAAGAAAAGTTAATGACTTAAAATAAAAATACACAAAGGAAGAAAATATAAATAATAGCCAATGTGGTGATGATGATGACTACTTCTACGTGTATACATATATTCCCGGCATCTCTGAATGCTCATTTTCTTAATTTCCCGTTAATTCTCTCACAAATTGGAAGGAAAAGTCTTTTCTTTTCGCTTAACAAGTGAAAAAATTTAATTTTTTCATACAAAAAAAAATTATTTTTCTGCTTGTGTAAAATTCAAAAATCAGTCGTATTTTCATTATTTCCCTGAACAAAAGCTCCTTACATATCAAAGCGAATATTTCGAAAGATTTTTTGTTGATTACGTGCGACAGAGCTAGAGAATGAGCTCAATTCCATTTTATAAGAAGGCATCAGCCACACCAAAAAGTAACTTTGATTGGCCACCAAAAAGAATCGAAAGACCGATCAGAGTTGCACGACAAGAACCTCCACCTCCAGCTGTAGAGGAGGAAAGACAAAGGAATTAAAATTCATAAAAATTTTATTTTAATTCTCAATTTTTTTCATCCTTTTTCAGGTCAAAGAAGGCAGTAGAGCTGAAATTTCAGGACTGAAACTTGGCGATTCCATCGTAACAATTAATAATGTAGACACAAACAATATGACTTTGCAGGAAGCTAACAATGTCCTTGAGCAAGCGTCCCAACAAGACGTCAAATTAGGTGTCATCAAGTGAGTATTTGTGGATTATTTTTGTCTTTCTTTTATCGTCATTTCGTCTTTCTAATGCTTGATATAAAATTTGTAAAGACTTTGTTTCAAAATTGTGAAAATGAAACAACAAAGAAAGAACTGAATGAGAATTCAGAGCGAGTTCAATAGGGCGGGGGATCGTGTGGGAGTGATGGCGTTAGAGAAAGTTGAATCAAATTCTTTTGTGTGTCGAGTTTACGGTTGCACTTTTCTTGGCTGGCTAAGTTATTAGCTGATTATTCTGGCTGATTTTCTTAATGGCTATTAAGCTGATTGAGGAGCTGTAGATTGTATTCAGTCTTACTAGCTTGCCGATCAACAACATTATTGCATGAACCAAAATTGCAAGATGCTGCCCAAAAATCCAAATGTTTCCATCCCTTGACAACACTTCAAAACCAGAAATCCATCAATAAAAATTTTACTTACCATAAAAAATCATAAGGAAGGTCAAGAAAGTGCAATAATCTTAAATTATTTGACGTCATTTCTAATGTAATTCCACTAACATCTCTAAATTCTCACTTTTCAATATTTTTTTTTTGTTTTTCTCGCTCGTACTTTTTACTGTGGGTGGCTATTTATATCCCAAAGGAAATACACAAATAAAAAATTTATCTATTTTACATAGATGTTGGACAATGCCGCCACTTGTTCACTCACTTTTTGTGTGTGAAAATATGCGATCAAGGTTTGGTCTAGAAATTCACTAAGAATTTTATTGGGTAAATGGGATTTTAATTGTAGAACTGAATTTGTATGAGGATTTGAAAATTTTTACGTGGACATGATTTATGATCAGATGATCTATAAACATCTGTAGTTGGTTGGATTTGTTTACTACAATTTGTGGATTTATTTTGTGAATTTTACTATATATGATGTAGATTTGCGAATGCAAGAAGAATCTGTAAAGTAAATATTATTTTAATTTGGGTTGTTTGAGAGTTGATTTAAGTTCTCACTAGTTTGCTAACATTTGGCAAGCTTCTGAACTAGCTGACTTGATAACTAGCTTGAGGGAAAGCTAGAATCTCTTCTACAGCAAGCTATAGGGCTATAATAAATCCCTACATTCAAACAAGATCACAAAAATTCCTAAATCAATGCCAAGAAATCAATAAAGCCATCAATGCATCCCAAATGGACACACTCAATAACTTATTCAATTTTATTTGCTTCCATCTTTTTTAGATTCGATGAAGTCGACGAGGCAAATCCAGAAAAGAAGCTCACAATTCACGAAATATTATTGAAAGGTAAAAAGGGTAACAAACTGCCCTTTGAAGACGAACTTATGCCTCCACGTGGTAAATTTTTCTTATGACTAACTCATCCCAAAAAATATGTCAATCTTAAATGTCAATTTTATCTTATTTTTATGTCCAAAATTTTATCTGTTTTGCTGTTAAAAAAATGTTGTCTGTGAAATTATGCAGGAGCGTTTGTCGAGAAAGCAGAGAAAAAGTCATGGCATCCAATCGTATGGCCACATCCAGAACAGTGTGCACCGGAAATTATTTCATCTCAAAAGGTCTGGTGAAATTTTTTTTATTGCATTATTTTGTGAAATTAATTGATTTATGATGGTTAATGACTTCGATAAATTGTCTTTTTTTGGGTACAATTTTTATAGCCCACATAGTTTGTGATTTCCTTCCTTTGTGGAGAGTCTTTATTGTGAAGATTTATGTGGTACTTTTGTGAATATTTGAAACTTGTTGATAGCTTTGTCGATTTGGAGCTATTGTAAGTTGTATGTGTGGGGGTTTATGGTGAGAAATGGGAGATCTGTTGCTACACATTTGAAATAGACATCAAGAACTAGTCTTTGTGTTTATTAAGGTTTAGACCAAGGATTTCCCTTGGTTCCCTTAACTACCTTGTGACCCCTTTTACACATCAATTAATTAGAGTTCAAGTCAATCTACAAATTCCCAAATAAAATTCTCTAAGAACATCCAACGCTTAATGACAAATGTACTTCCCGCCAAGAAGTGTTGAAAAATTCGTCCACATTTAGACACAAAATGACAATTTTTTTGAAAAATGAATTTTAAAACATTTCTCGCGTATCAAAAAGAAGAAAGAATTAAAATGAAAATAAGCGTAAAATTAGTTTCGGGTTTATGAACACACAGAAGCGATTACAAGACAAAAAAGTAAGAAAGAACAAGAAGTAAAAATACAAATTATTATTATTTATTATTAAACGTTTGTGTCGCTCGTTCTTGAGCCATTAAAAGTCAATTGAAGAAAATAATTTATGTTAAAATATAATCTACATTCAATGTTATGTTAATTGCGACAATTTATGAGGGGGAAGTGGCTTGATTTTGAAGGAATTCGAATGCTGAATTAAAGTACTGAAAGACAATAATCGAAGCGATAAGTCTCTTATGCAAGGCTAACTTGCCAAAGAGTTTCAAAAATTAATTAATAAATAATAATTTTTTTATTTCCTTTCATGTATTTTTTTGTGTCACTTGTACGTGTCTCCCCCTACTCGTACCTGAACCTGTTAAATGTCTCCAATCTGTTAACAGGAATTGCCACATAAAAGAATCATCAGAAATTTGCGACGACTTTTAACAGACATTGCTGATAATCCAATTGAACGCGAGAAACATATCGAAAATTTACTTCTCATTCTCCCACGCGGCAGTGCTGATCCATTGAAAGTCATTCGACCAAAGCCAGAGAAGAAAGAAGGCGAAGAAGACGACGATGACTTTGGGGAAGAGATTGTAGAAGAAAAGGTAGAGGAAGAGGTGGACGATGAAGATGAAGAAGAGGTTTCTGAGGAATGAATGAAAATGTAGAGTGTCCATGTTGAGTGGAACTGTTGACATTGTATATCAATAACCCACAAAAAATGTATTTAATATTATTCTGGTGAAAAAAAATTGAAATGTAAATTTATGTATGTCCTGTTGTCCACTGAATTGGTGATAAAAAGTGAGTTGGAATTGATTTGCAAGGGGTGGAAACTCAAATTTTTTTAAAAATCTTTTCAATTAAATTTTGAAACCTTTTTTTCCGAACCTAAAGTTTAAAAATTTGTGCCTACCCCTTTTCAATTAAAAATTCCTCTCGACCTCCATTTTAATTATCGCCAATAACTGGCACTCTTTCGTGCAAAAAAAGTCACCACAGCAGCCACAAAACGTTGGTACGGTGGGCATTAAAATTGAACAAATTATTATTATTGTTTTTTCGTTTCTGTTACACAATTAGCATACAATGGAAATGCTGATGACTTAAAAAAATCAATAAAATTAAAAAATTATCGCTTTAATTATTTTTTAAGGCAAATTGAATTGTTTTTTGATGTTTTTTTTTTTCCTGCAATGTCCGATTGTTTGTTCATTAATTAGTGCCTTGTTGTCTTGTACATTAATTAGTGATGCCCAGTTTGTAGCTCTTTGTGGAATCAAAATTAGCGAAATTTTAATTTCTTTGGATTGTTGTCAATGTGATAACTGAAGTAAAAATTGATCAAATATTAAACAGGACTGAAATGTCGTGTTGTAGATTTGAAATAATTTAATTTATAGTAACAAGGAAGTTTGAATGAGAATGAGAATTGCTAAACTGAGTTGTACGTGCAAAAATGTCAATTTATCACTATTAATTTGCATTGAGAATTCTGGCAGAAATCGCTAATATTCTGTAAAGTTTCTCAATCGATGTTATTTATATTTGTAAAATTTGCAGGTTCATGCATTTATCACTTTGCTGTTTCCTGTTGAATTTCTGTCACATTTTAATTTTTGTTGTATTTTGTGAATTTTTAAATTAATTTAAATTAATTGATTTGTCAAAATAATAATATTCTGTCGTCATCTAGAGGCAAGGGATCTCTTGGGTGTAGTGGAACCAAAGTTAACCCCTATCGACCCGAATAAATGATACTACGTTTGCAATTTAGATCACCATGCATTAATTGTCTCAGACTTAATAGCTAGTTGAACATTAAACTACTCAAAGTCATTACTTTTACTATCCTCATCATCAGCATGTAAATTGATCGTCCCTATTATTACCTTCACTAGTCTCCTTTATCAACTTTATTTGGGTCAATTGCAATCACAGTAATTAGCTTCCTTTTGCTGTGACTAATTGCAAAATTTCCAATTTATTGCATCACTTCGATTGGATCCTCCAATCATTAATTCGATGGTAATTTGTAGCCACAATGCATCAGAAATTGCACGAATTGTGCATGACTTGGACCATTAACTCTTATTTATTATTCAGTGATCAATTTATCATAAATTGTGTCTCATGTAAACAAAATTAATAATCTTTAACATGTAATTGTCCCTCGAGGTTATAAAATGTAAATAATATATTTTCTAGCTGGGTAAATATACACATTAAATCTTAATATTGGTCATTAATTAATAACCCTTGAAGTATTTTTTTCATTTTGCTGATTTGTCTCTTTTCTTTTTATTCTGTTCGTCTCTGAAATTGTTAACTATCGATAATTTATTGCACATCCAAAAATGTCCATTCACTTCCCTCTCACTTAACAATTCGCACGTTTTATTGGTTTTGCTGCAGGCTTGGAGACTTGTTTACATTTTTGAGAACTTATTTTTAATTTAAATTTAATATTTTGAGGATACTTGTTGTCAATAGTCTAGCGTATAAGGCAAATTTACTAAGGTTACCTTAGTGTATAATAGATACCAGGAATAGGACTAGATACCATTTCTCCAAGCCTACACCTCACCTTATTTTATTTTTTTTATCATAACCTTTTTATTTCTTCATTCATTTTTAATTTTAAAATTTCATTTTCATCCTCTTTTCTTCTTTCTTTTAATTTTAAAATTATACTCAAAAAATATTCAACTCACATTTCCAATGCATTAAAAAAAATCACACAAATCCATAAAAAAACCGCTACAAAAAATAAATAATCAATTATTCAGGTTCACTAAGTGTCGAACTGACAATCAAAGCAATGCAACGTCAACTTTTACAAATTGCTGATCGAATCCCCGATGATATTCTCTTGACATTACTCAAATGTTTCGCTCAAATTTTGACACGCGAGCCTGAGCCATCGTCACAAGTGTGCGGTCCATTTATTCGAGCGTTTACTAAACTTCGTGACGATGGTGTTGAGAAGCAAATTGAATCAATAGTCGAGGAGAATGAAGATCATTTAAAAGATGACAAAAATGCTCTCCAAAATGACGGTGATCAGGAATGTACTTTCAATTATAAAATTGGTAATGTTATTACGCAAGAGGTTGTCTTTTCGATGGGCGATAATGACTTACGAGAGGCAAATGCCAATGGAGATGGTGAGATTTATGAAAATGGACAGTCTAGTCACGAGAATTATCATGAAATGCCAAATTTAGTGGAACCAGATGAGGAAATGAAGCTTCATCAAGAAGAAGAAAATAAAATTAATGAACAGCAAGTTGAAGAGAAATTTGAGGAAATATCTAAAGAAGCTGAGGATATTCCAATTAATCCTGAAGAATCAAATAATGATGCACAAGAACTACAAGAACCAACAATCGAAACAACTGATGACTCAGAAAAACCACAAATCGATGAACAACCAATTCAAGAAGAAATAGAACAGCAGGAGCAACCACAAGTAGAAGAAGAACCACCACAGCCAGAACAAAAAGAAGAAGTTCCAGTCATACCAATGGAAAAAGTGACCCTCGACGATATTCAACGTGAAATCCATGAAATGCAAATATTTTTGTTCAAAAAAGGCATTGCACCGGAAATCCGAAATAACAGCATAACTCGAAATGGAATTGTCAAAAAGCAAAAGAAAGTTGACGATGCCTACAAAGTTGATGTTTGTTTAAGCCTCAATAATAAGAAATCAGGTGAGAAAAAATCTAAATCAAAAGAAATTCTATCAAGCTATTTGAAGGATGGACATCATGGAAAGCACTCGAAAGCTGATAAAGAAAATCAAAAGGCAAGAAGGCATATTTTTGATCCATCAGTGCCAAACACACCTGAAGATTTTATGAAGGAAAAGTCTGTAACTGAAAAGATTAAGAAACAGAAGCAGAATATTAAGCACCTTGATTTGTCATGGCAGAAACTTTGTGACAGTCAGAGGAAGGTTTACAGGTTAGTCATCATAAGACACTCTAGATAGTCCTTCGACACTATTTTATCCAAAGAACACGCACAAACAATTTTCAGATTTTTTCAATAACCACAAAATCTAATCACCAGCCTTCAATATTAGCACACTCTTTATCATTTGCTACCAAAATTTCCAATAACTACCTATTGTCTCTAAACCTCAATTCTCTAATTTACAGACACTCTAACTACAAATCACCAAACGCTGACGAACAAACAATCGGTTAAATAAAAAAATTAATTCTACAAACTAACCCAACAATTATGGATGTGGCGTTGCTGGATAATTTGAATAGAGCTCACAATAGTGCTGTGCCGTGCCATAAATTAATTTCTAGATTAACATTTTTTTTACATAATTTATTTGATATTGATGATTCGTGTGGAAAATGAGAGATTTCAATAAAATAAAATCATTTAAAATAAATAAAGTTTTGCGACTGTTTTCTTCTTAATCGTGTTTTTGAATGCTTGCTGATTGTATGCTGGAGATGAGGATATGTAAATTAAGGTAAGTTAGAGAACTGTATGCTTAAACACAGCTTAAAAGACGCTCATCATTCCAACTGAAGTAAAGTTCAGCTTCCTATACGCACAGCTAAGTTAACAGCAACAAAGCTGAGCTTCAAATCAGAATAATCAAATGACAAGAACACAAAAGCCTTTGTGGACAGTGTGACACCAAAACAGCGCATTCATAATTGCATTACCTTGAGCTACAAAAAGACACAAGCTGTTAACCAGATGTGATTAATATTCAAACTTTAAATTTCTCACGTAGGCAACCACAGCAAGTCCTTTTAAGAATCTCATTGTTTCCTCATTATAAGTATTATCTATAAATAGTGACAAAAGGCAACAACAAAGTAGCATCAATGAAAGATTATTGTTCTATCACAATTAAGCCTCATTCATTTAAGGTTTTTCCTCCTTCCATTGATTCCTCTAATTGATGTAGCTGTTCGGAATGAGAATTCGACGACAAGAACATTCGATGAATAAATCCTACCGGTCTGTCTGCGTTTGCTTTTCATTCTTATGCTTGAGATACAAAATAAAAAAGAACTTGTTTGCGGTTAGAAACTTCTTATTCGATATTTTTTTGCAGATGAGTTCTTTTCATGTCCGCTGTGCCGAAAATAAACTTTTTCGAGAGTGACCGAATCGAAAATTCTAAAGATAATAATTCATGAAAGTCACGTAATGATGTGGAATGCCTGTTTTCATCCAAGGGATGCGTACTTTTGACCACTGTCTTTTGTTTATTTTGATCATTTCCAAACCATGATTAAGATTATGAGTACAAGATGGAACTGGTTCTGTTGTGTGTGGGCGTGAAGTACGGCCGAGACCCATATCGACACAGTTCAAAAGTTATACCTAATTTATGTCATAATTATGTCAGCTACAAAAACACTTAGTTTGAATTTTGTCACCCTCGGGAACACTATGAACCAGTATAGCTGATTTTGGTCCAAATCTCGGCCATACTTCACACTTATTTGAACCACATTTTCTCGTAAATGTTAAAATATTATTAAAAAGTAATTAATCCTGAATTATGTCGCTATTTTGTCAAGTGTTTTAAGATAAAGAATTTGTTTTTTGGTTTTCACAGTGAAGAGTATGAACAAAATTCAGATGGGGTAGTCGAAATTTTAGATTTCGATTTTTTTTAAGCTATGCATTACAAAAAGTAATATTGGTATGTGATTTATGTCAGAATTATGTCAATTCAAATAAAACATCCAAAAAAATTTTTTGACCAAAGTACACCATAGAAAATCAATTTTCAATTTTGGACTAGGGGCGACCCTAGTCAAAATCAATTTTGTCACTTTTTCTTTGAGGGTTTATCCAAATGGATTAAAACTTTGCATAAATATTTTGGTGCTTAAAGCAAACACAAATAAAACATCCTAAAATTTTGACATAAATCACATACCAATATTACTTTTTGTCACTGTGGAAACCAAAAAACAAATTCATTATCTTAAAACACTTGACAAAATAGCGACATAATTCAGGATTAAATACTTTTCAATAATATTTTAACATTTACGAGAGAATGTGGTTCAAATAAGTGTGAAGTATGGCCGAGATTTGGACCAAAATCAGCTATACTGGTTCATAGTGTTCCCGAGGGTGACAAAATTCAAACCAAGTGTTTTTGTAGCTGACATAAATTAGGTATAACTTTTGAACTGTGTCGATATGGGTCTCGGTCGTACTTCACGCCCACTTGTTGTGTTTAAGGTGGACATACAATTAAAAATGATGCTTAAGACAGTATGAATATGCAAGAATCGCCAAAAAATATTTCCATCCCTAGCATTTTCCTCGTTTTTTCTTCTTCGTCTTGCTTGATGTCGAAATCTCATAAAAGCCTCTTTTTCGTGCTATTAAGAAATTTCCATAAAAATTTAGCACAAACATTTAATCCTTTTATTTGAATCTAAACGAGACATGAAAATGAAGAAGAATTTTGTTGATGCTTTTCAAGCAGAACTTTAACATTAAGAATTTATGCTTATTTCGATTCGTAGGTAGAAATTATTGAAATTTTAATTTTTTCGAGGATTAAGAAAAATTTTTTACTGTGGAAGAACAATTTGTCATTTTTAGTGGAATGAAGGTAAACGATCTGTGAGTCGATGTTTTGCTTGAATGTGTCAACAGTTAACATTTAAACTACATGATGCCGCTCATAAAATTTAAATTCAGAATTAAAGCTATAAAAATCAACCCCAACCGTTATAAAAGTCATTTAAAAATTATTGCAAAACCTGAAAAAAAATTCCTGAAAATAAAAAATTGCAAATCATTCCTGTTGTGATAGCTCAAGCTTCTGAAAAATATCCAACAATTCTTACTTCTCGAAAACAAACTTGATTTAAATTTTTATTATCATATCTTTGAATAAATCTTGCCTGTTGTGATTATTGACATTTAATAAAATTACTTGGAAATTGGACCTCCTTTTGCCATTCAAAATCAGATAAAAATTTAAAAATATCAATTTTGATTTTGCCTAATGATGAAAAATTCAAATTATTGTTAATAAATTTTATCTTAAAGAATTCAAATTAGTTTTGGATGAGAAATTAGATTTGCTAATTTGTCATAAAGGATGAAGACAAAAAAGTGGAAGATATTAAGAAGCATTTAAGAAGGAAAAACATTAATATTACTGACACGTTAAAAATGATCTTGTGAGAATTTTGTGCGGAATTGTTCGAATTCTTTTTTAACTCCGTCCATTGGCATAGCACGAGAGCTGTTTTAGGCTGTCACGAAAAGCTAATGAATATTCAAAAGGATCCCAAAAATACCAAATGAGCCAAATTCAATACTTGAGGTAAAATCCCTATAAAAGTTAAGAATCAGAAAATTTAACCAAAAATTAGACAAAATCTCCCAAAATTCTCGCTTCTTCGTTCTTTTCTCAAAATATTACTCAGAACATTAGTGTCGATTATCTCCCATGTCTACTAATTTACAGCCAATTCAATTCACAGAATCACAAGCCTAATAAAAACCAGTTCCACTTGAAAATCTGCACGTGCATCTTCCATAAAATATTGCATGAAAAATGTCATCGACGACGTCTGTTCCATGAATCATAAGTTGACACTTTACTCAGTTAATGGCTGTAAATTTATGACATGCGAAATTATAAATGAAATCTACTTAAGCAAAAATATTAAAAAATTAATTCCAATTTTCGATAATTGAGGCTATTTATTTCAATTGACGTTGAATTATTTCTCTTTTGTCTTGTTGCTGTTGTGCCAACTGAAATGGTAATTAAGTATATTATTGTAGTGTGGTGTTGAATGATCAATAATTTCTTTAATTTAAATTTACTTTTAGATTTCAATGATCCTTTAATGAAAATCAACACAAGCTCACTAAGGAGCTTCATCATCATGCTTAATTTCAACCATTTATGGGCTATAAAGGGGGGTTCAGATAGAACATAATAAATCATAATTTTACAGCACTCAAAAACTATAAATTTGAATAAATTAATTCAATTTTTTTTTTTCATATAACCACAATGCCTATATCATTGCATTGAATTCGGATTAATTTCTGCAATTTCACAACAAATCTGAAATTCAAAGAAATAAAATATTTTTAAATCTTAATGCTAATATTGTGAATTAATTCATTCACATTCAAGAATTATAAGAAAAGCTGCATAATTTATTTTATTTTTCTCATTCAATATTTTTTTTATTAATCTTCTTTCGTCCTACTTACAATTCATACATATTATTGATATTTACAATATCCAATCAAGTTTAAATTAATTGAGCTTGAAACTTTTTTTTATGTGTGGCTGGTTTTGTGTTCTATTGAAGCTAATGACTCCAATAATAGGATTAAAAACTCAAAGATTTATGGTTGAGAATGTCATTCAGGGGGTGGACACCTATCTGGTGCTGGATTAATATAGAATTTTCATGGTCAGATGAGACTGTTGGTTGATGTCTTTTTGTAAAGGTCAGGTGATGTCATAGCTAATGTTTATGGGGGTATTGGAAGGTAATAAGTTATTGTTGGATCAGTTGTGGTTTTAAAGTGTTTAAGTTGTTTAAGTCTTAAAGGTAAGCGATATTTCTGATTAAATTAAGACTTAGGGAAGAGAAGAGGAGGCGGTATAGGCTCTAAAAAAGAATGAATTTCAATAGATTTGCAATAAATTCCAACTCACAAGCCTCCCAAAAATAGAAAAATTTACACAATATTGACCCCGAAAGTTCAGTTCAATCCCCAAAATCCCTCAACTCTTACAAAATTATAAAACCAAATTTTAAATCCCCAAGATTTATTGAGAAGCCAAATGACAATTTAATCCCATTACAGTAGTAATAAATACGAAAGCAATTATCATCACATATAACATAAACAGTAACAGCAGCAAGTATACGTAATGTGCAAGTGGAATAAAAAATCATCAATCATTAAAATGACAAATGAGATTACAATAATCATTTAATTGGATCAATTTCAAGCTCAAATAAAATTTTCTTCGAATAATAAAAAAACGAATAAAAATAAACGCAAAAAAATTAAAAGAAGTGAAATTTTTTTTTATTGAAGATAATTTAAAATTAAAAATCTTTTTACTTCCATTTCTCTTTCTCGTCCTACCGTCAATCATTTGGCACTTTTTTTATATTTTCATAAATTTTACTTGTAATGTGTTATTACTAACTGCAATATTATTTTTCTTTAATATTAAAATCTTATCATGCGACTATTTATTTCTCATGTGTGAATATTTAATTATAAAGATTAGATTTTTCATGCAAGATTTGCGTTTTAAAAGTTTTTTTTTCTTTCATGGTTAGAGTTGCCCAGTGAGGAAGTTACTGCTAAGAAATATTCGTTTGAATTTGAGATTATTTTTACAAATTTAAAATTTATTGAGTTTTTAAAAATTACCATTTTTAAAAATAAAAAAAAATAAAATTCTTTTTGAAACTTAAAAAATTTAAATCAAAAAATTTCAAAACTTTAAACAATCAAAAGTTCAAAAATTTTCAAAATCAAAAATTCAAAAAATTCATATTTAAAAATTCAAAAACTTTCAAAATCAAAAATTCAAAAAATGTAAAAATCAAAAATTCAAAAATTTAAAAAAAAACTTCAAAACCATAACAGTAATTTCTTTCCTGGGCATATTGTGTGTGTATTTTAATAATTTATTATGGGGTTACTTTCTTCACTTTCATTAATAATAGAGATAAAAACTTCGTCATCATCATCTTTTTTTTTCTTTACATTACAAAATAGAAGAATTTAATAGTAATAATAATGATAATAATAATTATTATTTTTTTCTTTATAAAACTACATTAAGTAGGTGTCTAATTATTATTTTCATATTTCATTCTCTTCTCACTTGATTAGTTACACACTCTCAATGCGGATTTTACATGCGAAATCCGAATAAGAAAGTTAATAAATTGAATTTAAGATTAGTTTTTTAGAAGTAGAAAAATGTGTTTTTTGTGTTAATTGAATAAAAAGCTTTCTTGAGTGAAATTTAACAAAATCCTTTGGAAATTGCAAATTTTTAAAAATAGGTTGACAGAGTTGGTTGATGAAGTGAACATTTTTTTTGATAATTCTGGCTTTGTTCAATTTTTTAAATTAAGAAAAAATAATATTTTGAAAAATTCTGACTTTTTGGTATGAAATAATGCCAAATAATGGCCAAATTATTGACGATATTATTCAAAATTGCTTAAATTAGTTCGATAAATATGAATTTTTGGCAAATATTCACGCTCAAAATTAATTCAGAATTTTTATTTTCAAAAATAAAGCATATCCAATTTTTTTTAAAATAACAAAAATTTCAACAAAATTTTAAAAGAATATTGATTTTTTTAAAATTTCGAAAACTTCAAATAAATTTTAAAACATTTAAAAATCATCCAAATCATCAACACAACTCTGCCTCACTTAGTCCATGACTTAATGCTTAATGTTGCTTTATAAGGAGGTTAATAAGCATTTACGAGTAACTTATTAATGTGTGATTTTTTTCTCTAATATAGATAGATAAATTAACAGAATATTTTGTAGCTGTTGTCTTACTGTCTATTACTGCAAAATTTGTGATCGATCTCGAAACTTGTATTTCATGTACAAAAAGTAAAATAATTTATTTCCGGTCTCCAATTTTCGATCCCACACACACACACACACAAACTCTGTCTCAATTTAGACCATTCCAAAATCCGTACAAATTGTCGACGACGGCGATAGATTTGAATTGCTCTTATTATTTGACTTATTAATATCCAATTCCACCAACGTATCGATGCTATTATTGACACTCAGTCCACCTTTAAGAATTTTCTTTGCATGAAGCGACGTAAAATTGAAACTCAAATCGGTGAGACTTGGAAAGTTGTAAAGTCCATTCTCATCATAGGTCGGTGTCTTTTCCTCTTTCACACAATTATTGATTTTATTATTTTGTTTCATTGCAATCAAATTTGGCTCACTGCCAACAGCCATAATATTCTTATGGAATATATTCAGCAATGAGTCGGAGTTTATTGTTGGATTTGAATTTAAAAGTGAATTTTTCAAGTCACAATCAGAATTTATCTGTTTATTGTCTTTCAAATTACCAGCGGATGCATAAAGACTTTGTTCCTGTTGTTGTTGTTGCGGTTGCTGATCGTGTGATGAGAACAAATTCATCTTATTATGTTGATAGACGGGTGAAATAATTGCATTTGTCTGTTGATTATAATGATTCTTTAGTATGTTATTATAAATCATTCTGTTTCCACTATTGCCGGTGCTGTTCTTATCAGTCATCGATGACCCAATTTGGAGTGAAAGTTTTCTATTGTTCATCTCATCATTATTAACATAATTCATATTATTTCTTGGAAATTTATGATTTTCAGGACTTTGTACATTATTTTGCCTTCTAGTATCTCCATCGTCAACAATATCATCATCAGCGTATGGTATAAGACTTGAATCGGGTGATGTTTCACTAATCATTGACAAAGAATCACCTGTCTCACTTGCTGCTTCATCATTCTCACTAAAACAATTCTCTTTGCCTATCGTTGCACTACTGCCACTGCTATTACAATTCCTCTGTTGTTGTTGCTGCTGCTGTGCTTTCTCAGCTTGCGGTCTCATCTTATTATATTGTTGTTGTTGTTGTTGCTTTAATGGTGACGTCAATGGACTTCCATTCATTAAACTTTTTCGACTAGCAATTATCTCACCTTTCGAGTTTGTTGTTGTCTCGTTATTAATGACAAAAACATTTGAATTCTCCATGAACTTGCCATTCTCGAATGTTATTGACGTGTGAATGGGTGAATTTTGTACAAATATCTTAGTGTTAGGCAAACCTGAGCAACCGTGTGCATTATTAGTGACTTGAAGCGTAATTGAGCCATTTGAATTTGAATTTGGCATAGTTTTGTCTGATGACTCATCAAATGATGTCGATTTAATGCCATTTGCTGATGTTGATGTTGTTACTTTTTGTTTCGACTGTGATGCCTGGATTATTGTTGGTGGGGTCAATGAACCTTGATTTGTCTTTAACAATCGATGCTTTGGAGAACTTCTTGGGGAATTGGATAAAATATGATTCGATTGCGATTGAGCGACTGTCGATGCTGAGCCATGCGACGAACCGTCTAAACTCGAATGACCACTATTGCGACTCAATGAAAGACTCTTATTTCCGCTGTCGATTGAGGACGGTCCGGATGCAACTAATGATGAAGTCTTTCCACTTTCAAGACTCGAAGGTCCACTATAATTATTTACACGACTTGGTTGATATCGTTGTGTCTGTGACAATTGTGGATCATTTCCAGTGCATTTATTATGATAAATTTCACCACTTTTTGTTCGACAATTTTCATCAACGACTTGCTTATTGAGCGGCGTTCTCTTTGGCGATCGTCCAGGTATGGAATGTGTTGAACGCGGTAGACTTCCACTATAACAAATCGCCGGCGATCGTCGACGTATGGGAGAGCAGTCGCGTGATGATATTAGAAATGTTGATTCACTCGACAGATTTCTCTTGTGGTTGTGTCGTCGTGGGATCGTTAAGGAGCGTTGTGAAATTTCTGATCCATCATAATATGTTGAATTTGTAGATAAGGCATTTGATAAGGAATCCTGTGGATGGTGATGTGAACAAAATCTTTGATTAGTTAATTTTTGAAGGAATTTCAAAGTGGATATTGTTATCGGATGGTTAGTTACCTTAAAGTACTGCAAAATATTGCAATAATGAAAATATTAGCAGTAGTGTTAAAATATATTATTAAAGATCTCACATTTCCTTACAATCATGTCAAAAGTTATGTCCCACCTAGTCCCAGATTCCCAACTCTTCATCCATACATAATCACAGTCATTCACACATAACAATCAAGAAGAAAGAAGACTCTACTTACATGGTGATCAAGTGTTTGCGTTCCAACATTAATAAGATGTACAGCCTTCGAATTAAACCATTCACGAGGCGGAAATTGTGCTGAAAACGTTTCAATCTTCTTGCCCGGAGTTCGACAGCTTCGGCGGAAAATTCTTGAGAGTAGAGAGGCACTTTTTTCTGTGAATTGAATGGAAACATCAAGAGTTGAAACAATGTCAACAATAATTGTCTTACTTGGTGACGAAGAGTCCGTACTTTGATATTCCGAACTACTGCTATCGGTTACCGTAATTGTCGCACTCGTCTGACTCTGTGGCTGTAGCGTTGAATTTTTTGTGAGACTACGCGTTGATTGACATCTTTGTAATCGCTTCGATGAGCCGAATAATCGTAGACTATGTCGTCGTTCAAGACTACGAGGCGTTGGAAATGAGGCACTTCGTCGCTTTGATGAGCGCGGGTATAAAATTTTATCATTTGGATTACCGCCACATATGACATCAGCGAGATTCGTTTGAATGCATTGATGTGTCAAATCACCATCTCGTATTGTCGCAATCTCACCGTAGAGGCTATGAAGGGCCTCAGAATTACTCATTAAAATTGTGCGTGACTCGTGTGGTGACTTTAAGTCCTCCATTAGATCTTCATCAATTGATCTCTGATTGCGTGACGTTCTCGACCGACTTCGACGACGTCTATTATGTCATACATGAAAATAATCAGTTATAATGAACGAAAACAAAAAATAAGGCGTGAGAAACACTTACTCAGGCGTGACAATAAAGTACCCCTTAGACGTTTGATAAATCTTACGCTCCTGTTGCAATTGCACGAGTGTATCATAAATGATGTCATTTGATGGCTGCTGCATGTGTGAGAAACGTATGGCAAGATGTTTTTTGATTGTATCTAGTGTCGCTGATTGACCGCGTGATGTAACATCCATGATGACATCACAAATGGCCTCTGTTAAAGGTGTAAATTGAGTCTGTTGAATTGGCGTTACAATACAATCATCAATGTCGCCTGAAATGAGAGTTGAACATAAATAAAATATAATTTTTTGTTTATGATTGAGTTATTATGTGACATTAATGTGAGATGATCGGATATGATGGATTTATGATGTGAATGTGGTTTGGGAATGAGATGGATATTTTGGAGTATTTTAATGAAGTTTTATGCAATTCCTGAATTTTTTTGTGCCCATTATCCTCAAATATTATGCAAATAAAGGTATTATGTCCTCGCTATAACTCAGTCATATGACCCCACCTTCACCCCACCCAATCCACATCTTACCACATAAATCATCAACAATTTAACAATTCATAAAACAAAAAAAAAGTCACATTATTATTATTAAATCAAAAACAAGACATGAAGTATGGTCGAGTGGATGACTTTCTACATGATGTATGGACGAAGCAATTTAAAAGTGATTTAAGAGTTTAATGCTGTGTCATATTAAATAGTGTCATTGCCACATGACTTGATTTTCTAGAGAAAATCAGTTTTCGTTTATGCATTCAAGTATGCAAGTTTTGTTGTGAATTTTAATCAATGCTAATCGAGATAACAGGCTATAGTATGGGCAGAATATATTAGCATTAAGTTGAATGAACTGAATCACGTTTGCTTGCAGTTGTTTCCATTTTTTTGGCATAAACATCTTCAAATTTCTTGTTTGCCTTATTTAATGGGACATTAAGCAAATAATTTTTTATGAAAAATGTTCATAATTTTCATGTGTCAGATTTAGAATGACTACAAATTTCCAGATAATTTGCCAAAAATCCAGTCTGTTGACCATTTCTTATGCAAATTCTCAATTCCACCTGCTTACCTCATCCACAACAATAAATATGTTGGAATGTATTCAAAAAACTATTCTTTTCAAGTGCTATTAAAGGCTATTAAATTCTGACATTGAGTTATATAATTCTAGTTCCTGATACTTTTGTTCCGAAGGGAAATTTTCACTCTGTTTTGTGAATTTAAATAATCGATTTTTCGGCAAATAAACGAGAACGTGTGGTGAGAATGAAACTTCTGTGCTGGGTGGTTTTGATGATTTTTCTTTAATTTTTTTTGAAGGCTTTAAAAGGGTTGGCAATGAGAAATAGACACGTTTATACCTGAGCTAGGGCAGCTACTTAGTCTTTCAACCTAAGAGAGTACTAGCAGGCTCTCCTTAACTTTAAGTGAAATTGTATCATGCTTAACCATCTGTCCAGCATAGAAGTTAACCTCAACCTCCCACAAACAGCAGCAAAAAGTCTTTCACATACAAATTTTATTTAACTCTAAAAAATAATTCGCAAAAAAAACTGAATAAGGCAAAAAACTCATCGAGACAATAAAAAATAATAAAATAACGAATGAAAATGAGAAACGCATGGTGTGGAAATAAAAGGGAAACGATTCAGCGTGTAAATGGCAGGCATGGCAATTTTTTGCAGCACTTACATTGTTGTAAAAAAATTCTCAAAGGGATGAAAACTTGAGAAATAATTTATTGAGCTAGTAGAAAGGAAAATTTCGTCGTCTATTATCGTTCTCAGTCATGAAATGAGTCTTATAAAGTGTAATTTGATTCAGCATGAAATATATTCAAAAGACCTTGAAGCATTTCCATGGATGAAGTTAAATTGGATCGTTTAAAGAAGAAATTTTGTTTTCATTCTACACCCTTGAAATTAAGAGTGTGGTTAAGTGGAAGGAACAACAACAGTTCTTGACTTTTGATAGTGAGTTAGGGATGGTTGAGAACATTTAAGGCGCAGTTATTTGAAAACATATTTTTCTTAATTTTTTGCAAGAACTTATGTCCCTCCTGCACTCAAACATTTTCGTTTCTAGCCTCAATAAATTCAAAGCAACTCAAGAACAGCTTATCTAATCCAAAAAAAATTCTCAAGTTTGCAATCAAAAGTCCATAAATTCCACCGCAGTCTAAACTTTTCAACAGCAACTCATGCATAGCAAATGATTGAATCGTGATTGTGCTAATAAAATCCATCTTCTTACTAAATCTGATTTTTTTTTCGTCATACTTTAAGTTTAAAGTCACGCGATACGTCAGCAAAATGTATTGTGTCTGAATATTCACGTGATAATGCAGATAAATGTAATCGATAAATTATATAATTTGTATGGTTTGCATGTTAAGTTTTATGTCAGTGTTTATGGGTTATATATAATGTTGGCTTTTTATTGAGAGCTTGAGGAATAAGTAACAATTTAATCATCACATTTACTGAAAAGTTTTCACAGTGAAAATTATTGACATGAATTTACGATTTTCTGATAAATAAGTTGTGAAATGAGGTGCGGTGGATATTGGGAATTGATTTTTAATGGAGATGTGAAATGTGGGATGGAATTTACAATTTGTAGGTTAAGTGAGTTTGGGAATTTTGACATTTTATAGCAACTACGTTGCTCAAAAAATCAAATAAAATTCTAAAATCATCAATTTACTATAAATAGTTTCACAAGCACCTCGACAAACTATCCTCAAATCCTCATTTCTCTACAAACAGCCATTCATATCTCCCCCACAAAAAAATCCAACAACAGCACAGGAAGGTATCTCTTTCCTCTCGACACTGCCATTTAAATACTTTATCTCACTCTGCCGCACTTACTCTACGCTCTTTTTTGGAATATTCATTGTATTTTGTGCATTTTGCGGCTGGCAATGTCACATAATTTATTTAATACAGGATAACTGTATGACTGAATGAGCTATTATTGCACTATAAAGTTTAAAATTTCCATATAAATTAAATGCAATATGCGAAATGTTTATGTTCATGGAGAGTCGAGTGCGTTGAGATTTGCAGGGGATATTTCTGTGGATTTATGACTTTTTTGTTGAATGTTTTGCTTTCCAGCAGTGCTTAGATAGTCATTATTAACGTTTTAACATTTCTGAGGGGCTATTTTGGACAATTTCATATCACTGACCCCCACAACCCAACTCTGCCTCTTAAAAAGTTTACCTCACTTTATTTAAATGCAAGAGACGTGATTCTTGTGCTACAAAAAAAAGTAAAAAGTGAAAAGAGACTCAAGAGTTTTAATAAAGAAGGGAAAAGAAGGTTCATGCAGTGTACTTAACACTTTCAAGTACACACAAAACAGCTACAATATGATTTATTGAGCTTACAGGCATAAATAAGTCAATAGATGCAATTTATTGCTTGAATGCACACTCATTGGAATCAAGACACAAAAAAGACGCTGAGAAACAAAACAAAAAAAAACGCACAAGTGAAAATGGACATAAATCTACATGCAGAGATTTCTTAAAGACTTCATTTCCACTTATGCTGTTGTGCTAGCTTTGAATCAAGTTACAATTTATCATTTTCATATGTTTGTTGTTATTGCCATTCATACCGTATGAAATTTCTCATAAATTAAATGAATGGAAATGGAAATAAAGGAAAAAGACTCTAAATTGCGTCTCTTTGCATTTCTTCTCATTTCCCATGCGTTTTACTATTTTTTTTTGTTCATCTAAAAACGATTCAATTTAAGAAGAAGAAAAACTTTTACTTTTATAGAAATGTTTTTTGGGCCGATCTTCAATGACGTTAGACAATTATCAAACTATGTACAAGTTGATAAGGTGAGTCAAGTTATACTTGCAGCAAAGAAATAGGTTCACAAGAAATCTCAAATTTCAAAAAAACATCACTGCCTGATGACCCCACTAGCATTGTTTCTATGAGCATTTTTATCTATTATTGCCATCCAATAGAAGTCATGTAAATCTCATGTTGTTGTCTTAACGAATCTATTCCTCACATTTCTTTCTAAAGACATAAGCCTCAAATATGTAGCTACAGTATAAAATGATTTAAGAGGAGAAACATAAAGAGATAATGATTATGCTTAAGCATTTTTTTTTGCATAATGTCTGCAGGCTGAAAAGAAACTTTTTTATGTTTTTTTTTCACTGAGATGTAGCATTAGCACTGACCGTACTTAAATTATGTTCCCGAGCAGTACTTTGTATGCAGCATAGTTAATATTTAATTGAAGATTGTAGTGGAATTGAGTGTTTTGAACTTGTAAGTTGTTGATGACTGCAGTGAGTAGTTCGACATAATTTTTGGGGGTCAATAATGTTAAGGTCGAATGAATTCTTGGTTTTAATTTAGAACTGTAAAATGTGTTGTGGACAGCTGAGCAACTTGAGACTCTTAACGTTCATTTTAATAGGCAGTGATGTTATTTCCCATTCAAACCATTCACAAACCTAAGCTATCCGGGTCTAAATCCCTCAACTCTAACCAGCAATCATATCTGCGGTCAAAGTACTTCATTTGATAAACTAGCAATTGAAACAAATGCCATGAATCTACTTAAAGTAGTCGGCACAATTCGTTTTATTGAATTTATTTAAATTTTGTGGCAAATAAGCTGATTTCATGCTCGGAATTGAAAATAAGAGAGAAAAGGTGAATTTTTGTTTAACAATTGATGAATATTTTTACTTTCATTTAAATGCTTCCAGTCTTTTTTCATTGTTTTTATTTCATGGAAATTTCATTTTTGATGGAAATTTTTTGTTTTGCGGATTAATAATTGAATTATGAAATCATATGATTTATACAGCGGATTAAGTTGGATGATTTAAATATTTTGAAAATATCTCGATAATTGTATATTATTATGTGCTGATTGGTGGCTTTGCGGATTATAACATTGAGGAATTCTAAAAATTTAAGTGGATACCAAATTTGCCAAATTCCACATAATTTTCTTAAGCAATTCCTTCATTCAAGGCTATCATTTAAAATTTATCAAACTATAATCTTAAAAATTTTATTCCATCCTTAATAATTCCTCAAAATTAAATTTCAACCCCATCAAAAAATCTCAATTTTCCACTTTTAATCTCAATTCCTTCTTCCAATTTTTCATAAAAAATGCAACAATGCAAAAAAAAAACTCAAATTGCTTCAATCTGTGCACATCTAGACTCAAAATTTAAGGTTTCAATTTCAATTGTATGAATAATCAATAGATTTAAAAAAAGAGCAGCACAAAAATTGACTAACGAAATTAAAAAGCATGAAGATACAATTCAATTTCATGCTCATGACTAGATTGAAACTTATGCAGAATGAAGTGAGTGAAGTTCCTTAATTAAATTTTGATAGTCTGTGCTGTGCTGTGTAGAATAGATTGGAATGGAATTGTTGTAGTTTTGGTGTTCAGAAGCTTAATTAAAATAATATTGTTGTATTGTTTTGGGTGTTTTTGAGGAGAATTTGATGAGAAGAAAAATAATGCTGGAGACCCGAATAGCACATGTCGGTTGATTGAATAGAAATCTGGTGCTAAGCTGACATGACTCTGGCATGGTGCAGGCTTTGATTTATATTCAGCACTTTTCCAGAGTCACACCGGCTTGGTGCCAGATTTCTGATCGATTAACCGACTTGTGCCATTCTTCAGGAGAAGAGATATTGAGGGTAGAAAGGGAGGGGGGGGGGGGGGGTGCATAAAAAAACATTAAAGATTTTTATTTTTAATTCAAATCTATTGCGTTGTCTTTTAGAGATACTTTAAAAAAAATTGTCAAGAATCAAAGTAGCGTCATTTTTGAATGACACCTTATAACATTCAGCCTATGCAAATATTTATTGAACATTAAAATACTTCAATTAAAAACATTCGTAGCATTACAATAAATTCCACACAGCCAAAACCCATTAAAATAAAACAATAAAAAATCATTTGAAAAATAAAATAAAATTCCAATTCATTTAAAATACATCCATTAATATCCAATTGATTATTTTCTTCCCACTATCTATTTATTTTTTTATTTCAATTATTTGCAATTCTTAAATAACTTACCAACAGAACTAATAGTGTATGTTGCCGGTGGCTTCAAAACACTCCTCGCATAGGCACCGCGCAGAATCTCTAAAGCGCATGGTTCAGCTGTCACAAGTAGCATACCCGGCGCAACGTGACCAGCATATTTAAGTGCTCTCGTTGCTGCCGTTAGTGGAGTATTCCACCAACATTGTGAGTTTGCCGCTAGAAAATTCTATAAATAAATAAGGTAAATGGTACAGGAAATTAGAAAGTTTTGCAAATAAAATTACGAAAAAAATAATTGAGAATTACGTGAATTTTCATGAGTATCAAAATTTTGTCATCAAGCATCATTGATATTTGCAGCATGAAAAATGTAGCAACCAAAAAAATAAGTTTTCTATAGCCTTACAGTTCATATAATACATTTTAAGAAATGTCATATCGAATAAATTTTGAAATTTTGTAGCTTAAGTTCAGTGAGTCGTGTAGTAAATAAATTCAACACGACAATGGCAATTAACGTTCCTTTCAATGCTGCTTACATTGATAATTGAGACTTGAATTTAAAGAGTAAAAAAATATAGCAAGCTCACAAATTGAATTAAAGGCTGGAGACATGCAGAATGAAAGAAAGCATGTTAAAATCCATAAAATTATTTGTTTTCACACCATAATTTTTAACCATTGACATGATACACATATGTAGCCAGCATAGTTAAACGAGACAATGGATTAATGTGGCGGTAAAGTCTCTTTTTATGTAAATAGAGTCTTGGCTATGGAAAAAATCTTTCTCACATCTAGTTTTTATTTTTTTTCTGGTGCTTATTCAGTTTGTTTCTGGAAGCTTGAGGTGGGCATTGTTGGGATATAGATTAATGTTTGTCGGACTGACTTCATTTTGGGCTTCTTTGTTAATATCCTCAACTGCCTCACATAGCCCACGAGACACCTTACTAGAGTCTCCTTTTTCTCATAACTTAGTCATAAGACTATTGTGGTATGTGTCAGTCCCCAATGTCTAATGTCATCGATAGAACTTCTAGAAAAATGCGCTCTATGTCACACTCCTCATCACCTACCTTCCCCACTGCCTTTGTTTATTTACTTTATTCATTTTTTTTTCTGTTCTCCACACTCCCAAGAAAGAGAACTAACCCAACTGAATGGATCGTTGGCTGACTCAATATGAGATGTGATTGAATTAAGATTAGAAAGTTTTTCTTTTATTTTTATTTCTTATTTCAATTCTTCTTCTTATTATACACAAATGTATCTCACATATGCATGAAACTATCCATTATATGTGTGGAAAATGTGGCTTGCCGCAATGCAAAACTATGAAAATAAACAGACAACAACGGCGGTAACGAAACAGAAAAGAAAAGAAATAGGCAATAAATTAACGATGTGATTTCTCATGTTTTTATTTTTCATTTTTCTTTCAGATAATTCACTCAGTTTAGGTCTATTTTTTTTTTTAAAAAAAACTTTAAATGCATAAATAGAGACAGAAGATTAATTGTGAAAAATTTGTCAAAAAATTAAAAAAATTTCATTTATGCAGTTACAGTTTTTCCTCTTAAATATGTAATTTTGTGTAAGAAAAAATTACTGCAGTTGTATGTGGAAATTTGCAGGCAGGTCGGTTAGCATTATGGGAAAAATTTTGCAACGTTGCATAAAAAAGTATAGAATAGTTGGAATGCAGGGAAAATTGTGTGCATTGCCATAGTGATTTTTTTTAAGTTTTCCTTTATTCTGCTCGTGTGAGATCGGAGATGAGCACATATGTGAATGAAATTGTGAATTTTGATGCGAGGAATGGACAGTTGTGGGAAATTTATTGCTGTCATGGTAGGTTGGGCTGTGTAATTATTGAGGGGTTTACTAAATTGCATCTATGGATCGTTCCTATCTTTCAGATTTATTGTTCAAGCTGTCTATCGAAGCAATTTAAGTTCGATCTCAGTGTATAGACGTCAAACTAGTGAGAAGGGATGTGATTGAGATTTAATGTGGTTCCATCAAGAATCTTGGTAGATCTCAGAGTGTCTTCTGGACCAAACCCTATAAAACTGATCTCTGAGGTCGTTTTATATAAAATCTTACAGTTATATTGACAAACAGCCTTTAACCATCAAATAACTTTTCCAAAATCTAGTCAAAATCCATAAAAAAAATCTCGTCAATAACTCAAATAAACTTTAATGTTCTTTCATCAATAAAACTCACACAATAGACAATCAAACCCACTTCCTAGCATTTCCTCACACAATATCCATTACTCCAAATAAGCCAAAAAATAACTTTCATAATAATTTCCATCCGAAAAAAATAAAATAAAAATCTATCATCAAGGTCAATAGCAACCGCAGCATTTTATGAACATGAAATAGAAGAAATGGAAACAAAATCATTGAACCGAAGTTGGAAGTGTTTTTCATGTTAATAATTAATAGTATGAGAAATTAATAGCATAATAAATCATGAAGCATGAACTTATCTGAATAATTTTTAATGCTTCATTGATTATTTTTATGGCTTAATAATAAAAAAACTATTTTATGCTTTTGTAAATTTTAGTGAAGATTTATTTTTTTGGGGAAAATTTTAAAACTTAATATTGAGTAATTAATGACATTATGAGGCTTACTTTAAGTAAGTCGAGGTTGAAGTGAGGAAATATTGACGAAGTTTATTGACTTTTATGGTGAAGCGAATGTAGGCGACCTATTGACATACAGAAATTTATACTTTTATTTTACGATGCAATCAGCAAGTTGTTGAAATTTTTTTCGTGAGACAATAGATTTTTTGAGTTTTTTAGGTGTCGACTGTGAGCTTTGCAGGTAGCTAGCGAGTTTTTACTTGATACAAACTTGACTATTCCGAATGGCACAAGCTGATTAATAGATCAGAAATTCGGCACCAAGCTAGTGTGACTCTAGAATGGTGCTGGACTTAAATTAAAGCCAGCACCATGCCAGAGTCATGCTAGTTTGGTGCTGGATTTTTATTCGATTAACCGACTTGTGCCATTCGGGTAAGTTCCATCCTGAATAGCAAAAGTCGATTTATCGAATAGAAATTCGGTGCAGAGCCGGCATAACTCTAGCAAGGTTCTGTTTTTGATTTAAATCCAGCACCATTCTAGAATCACATCGGCTAGGTGCATATCTGATCGATTAACCGACGTGTACTATTGGGACTAGGTTTTCAAAAGCCAAACAAAGACCTCAACCTAAAATTTTACCATCCCTTGATCATCAACTTCTTCACTTATGCCGCATGATAGAAAATAAAATAAAATGTATGATTGTGATTATTTTGACAATTCAAGAAATCCTTCATCTTTATCTTTTCCCCATTCTCACATTCTCACATCCTATTTATAAAATTGGCAAATATTTTTTCATTGACATTGAATTTAACACACTCTTCAAATTAGGGATTCAGCATCTCCCATATCTCATCAAGGTTTACAAAATATTCTTCATATCAGACACGGATTTAGCAAATAAAGCATAAATGGAATTACACATAGAACATTAAGGCATGATAAAAATAAAAAATGATGTCTATACAAAATTGCAGCTTTAGAAACCCTTCAAAACGGTACAATAGATTCTATCATTGATCAGGATCGCAGTGCCTTCATCTCGTCGCAACGTGTAATAACACACCGCTTGGCTGGAACCCTCTCACATTTTTATTATTATTAACCCTTCAGAATGATGTTTCATTGACCTTCGTCAAAAAATCTTAAAATTGGTCACTTATTTATATATAGGTTAGAGAAATAAATTTTTACAACTTAGTGGTGGCTCAAGACCCCCTAAAATGCAAGGTAGGATCTCAAAATTACTATAGTTTTTCATTTTGTATCACAAAGCATCAAAAACAGTCTCTACAGCTCACATCATTAGTGAACGACACCAAAAAGAATTCAAAACCAACCCCATCGGAAACATTCATTTTATTCTCACATGATGAGACCAATTTTGTATCACGACTGCAGTTTCTATATTAAATATATGACAAATCTCAAGGGAAATAAAATAAACATGAATAGTAATACGAGATGATGAAAAAAAGTTACAACATTTAATGTCGAGGGTGGACCAGTTTAAGACTAAATGTTTTATGTTCATATGTATCGCTATAATCAATCTCTGTAACGAATTTGAAATGAAAATCGATGATTTGAAGGAAAAGAAGACTTTTTTGTAGACGGCTGGGATTTTATTTTTGTTTTTGGGGATTATAGACTAATGGAAATAATTTTTCGAGAGATGAGAAATTTAAGGCAGTTGAATTAGTTTGGGATTATTTCAGATAATTTGTCAATGTTTTATGATTTATTAAGTTTAATTTTAAATTATTTAAAAACATAGTTTAAATGAATTTTAATAATATCAATAATATTCATTACATGTGCCGCTGTACAGCATAAATTTCTTAAAATATCAACATCAAGATATTCAATACTTTTACTGCTTACTGGCATTTCTAAACCAATCTGTAATACATTAAATAAGTTTTCCACAAATCCATTAATTTCAAGGAGATTGAGTTCAAATTACTTAACAAATGTGGCAACAATATTAAATTTGTTTCATTTATTTTAGTCACTTTGAAGTGTTCTCTTTAGTCGTAAGTATCCTTCGTACTGTTCCTATAATTCATTCATCAATGTGTCTAGTTTGAATGAATGAAAGGAGCTTAATTGACGATTGGTTTTGTGTTAGGTTGCTAGTAAGGAGGAGAATTGAGCCTAAACCTCACAAAAATCTTAAAACATTCACAACCTCATCTACTTAACCAAGATTACATATCCAAAAAATAAAAGCATCTAAAAATAAACCACAAAAGTAATGAGCAGCCAATTATGACATTTCAACATTACTTCTTGCATAACTGATATTGTAATTCGCGCAAAAAATTGAAGCTAATCACTTTCAAATTAAATTAAAAAGTTCAAACTGATTTACTTTTAATGCCTTTTAATAGTTTTTGCTTCCATTTGTAGCATAACAGCTACACATTCATTCATAATTATTACGCAAGAATGGAAATGTCTGCGAATTATTTCGCTGAATTATTCGTGTCAATTTGGCAGTGAATGTGATGGTTGTATGAGTAGAGATAGAACTAATATTGAGTTATTAAATCCAGTTCTCCTTCTTCCACCTCTATTTTGATTAGGAATCTCCCAAATCCTTCTAAATATCACTTAACCTCTCCCAACATTTCTCAATCTCTTTAAAATCCATTAACATCCACAACAAGCATCATGTCATGTTCAAATAAACCTTTTATGCTTCAATTGTCATCGAAATAATCGAAACTATAAAATCTTGCATTACTTCAGCCTTTTATTAACTTGTAAAATTTATTCAACCGACTTAATAACTTCATCACATGTAAATTTACAAGATATGACATACAATTCATGAACGAGAAGTAAATCAAGTCATCATGAGTAAGCTGAAGATCACGATTTGTCCATAATCCGTAAAATGACGTCTAAAGAATCATATGTAAGTGGGTAATAAAGAGATCTAAATGTGAATCTGTAATGTTGATCTGGAATTATGTAAATGTGGATTTTAATGGAAATTTACGTAAGAGTTGATGAAGGAATTATGAAATCGTAAGGTGCAGAAAGAGCAAATCAGTTCCATTCTTGAATTCTTGCCAGTTCATCAGCACCAAACATAGTTTAAATGACAGCTATAGAAAGCCTTGAAAAACTTGGACTTATATCAAGAATATCCACATGAAATCATGTAAAAAGCAGCAGAATGCACACTTACAGTCAGTAATGTGCAATGTGAGTTATTTAAAATCAATAAAATTCCGGTATAATAAAAGTAAATGGAACTTAAAGCCCACATGAAAGGAATAACAATAAAAAACCGGCATGCCCTTGCAATGTGCTAAGGAAATTACAAAAATAGCAAAAATGCCTCTAATAATTAATGAGTTATGTCTTGGCATCGTGTGAGTTCAGACCTTGAGAATGAAATAACAATAATTACTTTAATGTTGAAAATAAAAGCACAAAAATCCTTTAATTGAATAACATTTTTATGCCACAAACATAAAGCACAGTTAGAATTTATGGAAGTGATAGCGCTTGATTGAAGGTGAACGTCACTTGAATGACAAAATTTAATTATAATATCGAGAAATGATCTAGAAAATAAAGTATTATTATAATTTTAGATTTTACTAGGCGACCAACTGACTAGACTCGCTTGATAGGAACAAATAAGATTATAAATTTCTACAAGGAATGCACAAGTTGTGCTTGAATGGAAAACGTTTAAGCTAGTAAAAGGGCAATGCTATCTTAGTACTTTGCAATGTTGTTTGTTCAGTTGATGGATTTGCTATGTTGTTGGAAGTTTACTCTTTATGGTGCATCCTGTTATAAAGCTGCTTGAAGCAGGCAAGTACTAAAATGTTGTTTACCTTAGTGGGTAATATCATGGATCGGATTTAGGTTAGGCATTTTTGCCAAAAAACTTCGTCTATATTTTCAAGAACAATTAGCACATATCTCAATATGATCGTTGGCTCGAAAACTTATCACTTGGCACAGATTAACACAAGAAAAAACTGACCTGCCAGAACAATTTATGCTTCAGAATCCAACATCGAGATAGGTCAGTTTCTCTTTGACATAAAATGCGCTTCTTACGCCCTAACCTAAATCAATCTCTAACTTCCTTTCATTTCCTACTCAATCTAGAACACACAAAATCCAATTTGCCCTGAAATTCTATTTTTCTTCTTCCTCAAAATCAATATTAAGCTTTATTGGACTGCAATGTTATTACTCTGTACACTGCATTTTGCTCGTTTACTGACACCAATTTTTTTTTAGGTTCCATCTGATACTCATGATGTAATGATGACAACAATCATGCAAATTTGACTCACCTGAAATATCATATATCCCGAATCGTACATCCAAAAATCTTCTGGCGTATTTCCAGCTTTGCAGAGCTGTATGGCAAGGCACTGTTGTAAAATGAGGCGACATCGTTGTGGTCCACTCGATTTTGTGCTCATTATTTATGCTGATTTTTTTTGTTGTTTGGATTTTGAGTAGCCCGAACTAGCTACTTCAACCCACACACACAAAAACAGTTAAAAGAAATTTTATTTTGCAAATAAAAAAAATTGTGTCGTTGAACTTCTGCTGCCGTATGTTTTTATTTTGAAAATAAATTCCACAAAATATGCTGTGCATCCATATTTGTTTATCTGCGGAAGAGAAAATAAGGTTTAAAGTGCGTTAAAAAATTTTATTCATTAATTATGGGTTTTGTCTATATTTATAAATTTTATGGATTTTATATGTGTATGGAGGTTATGCAATTCATAAAGTTAACATGTTCTGCCTTTTTTCATGCCTAATGAGTTTCAAGAAACCGACAGCAGCGCATTTGGAACCATATAATTAATTCCTTGACATCTCTCGCTCTTTGACTCCCCTTAAAACCCTCTCGATGCGTTGATTCCAATTGTAAAATGCATCAGGCTAGGAGAGACATCCAGCCACTATTCTCAACATCTTTTTCTAGAAAAGCAGCTAAAGAAATTTAAATGCTGATTTTTTGTGGATCACATTCACACGTTCATGAGTGGTGGTCTGGTTGAAGGCAATTCATTCATTTTTCATCATCAACATTCAATTTTATTGATTTGATAAACGAGTACGAATTTTTGATACGAAAATGGAAAAGATGATTTTTTTTATGGATTTTAGAGCAAAAAATCGAGGTCAATGTGGGGGCATTGGCAAAATTTTGATATCAAAATAAAATCAAGCAATAGATGTGGATAAAGAGAGTGTGATGACCATAAAAGAGATTTTTTTTAATTTTGCTTGTTAAGCATGTCTAATCAATTCAAGAAGACTCATGTGGATTAAGCAGAGAAAATTGGTAATTCTGTTCATAAAATTTAAGCTAAACTGACAGACGTTATCAAATAAATAAATACCGCTTAATGGCATGCATTAGTTTGGGTTTGATAATTCTTTTTTAAATTGGGGATCGTCCATAAGTGATGTCTTACATAAATTTCAGAAAAACAAGAGACACACCATTCAGAATGTCACATAAACTCACCCCTCTTTAGGTTTTTACATCATTTATGGACAAATCCTCGATATTTTTATTTCTCTCGATTTTAGTAAATTTCCATAATTAAAGGATTTAAGTCAGAACAGAAATTAATATTCACTGAATGCCATTTAGATTCTTATCAGTTCTCATCGATTCAAAAATCTTTAAATATGCTTATTTTGCCGAAAGTGACCGTCAAGCAGCTTTATCGATCCCTCCTACATGTCAATTTGCTTCTTCGCTGTATTATTCAGCTTAAAAATTTATTTATGCAAATTTAAGCAGCACTAGCTCTGATCCTCATTATAAATAAAACTGTATCAACTCGTTGATATAGTTTGAACATTCTCCTCATTCCTGTAGGCTATAATGAGAAGCAATTCACCAATACATGTAAAGAATTTTGTTCAAAAATGCACGTAGAATCTTTATTATGCCATATTAATGTTAAGACGACAAAATCATCATGAAAACTTGAAATTAAAAATTCTTTTCGTTGTTCGATACAAAAGCAATGTGCAAGTCGATGTCGCAAATGTAGAAAGAAATGCGAAAGAAAAAATCAAAAAAAAATTGGAAGCAATTTTGAAACGATGAAAATTAACTTTTTATGTAGATTGCAATTTTTATTTTTCAAGTCACTGTGCTTCATGTGAAGTTATATTTTATAATGGAATGGGGAAAAAATATTTATGTCATGTTCACATGACTGTCATCATGTGATCTTTTTTGCATTATGCGAAAATTTAATATAAAAATTATTTAATGAAGTTTTTAGGCTTGTTATTGCAGATATAAAAGTGACTTGTTATGCAGTTTTATGAAGATTTAAATCATCAAAATTTCTCTAAAATTGATTAAATTTCAAAACTCTTTAAATAAATTTTTAAAAATTTTCTCACAAATTCCAAAACAATTTACCTACAATTTAATAAATTCCCAGCAATTTAAATGCGTTTTCCATTTCCGACCGATAATATGCATATTTAAAAATCATAAATAACGATTAAAAATAAAAATACATAACACGAATTATCATTAAATACACTAGTTTATTTTATTAGTGCATGGTAATTTTCGTGTCGATGACTTTCTGTTATTACCGATCACATATGAATGGATAATTTCTGTATCTCCGCAAAACTATTTACTAGGTTCGTTGTTACATAATTTTCTTTAAATGTTTGTAGTACTTTTTACACTTATTTTAATGTTATTCTTAACATTTCTTGATTTCAGGCACTTGGAAGCCAGAAAAGCATAAGTCGATCAATCAAATAGAAATCTAGTGCCAAGTCGGCATGATCCTGGCATGATGCTATCTCCAATTTAAATATAGCACTATGCCAGAGTCACATCGGCTTGGTGCTAGATATCTCATCGATTTACTGACTTTTATGATTCGGGAAGCCTAAAATGCAGCTCTGCTACACACCTGAGAATTCTAGAATCTTCAATCAAGTTATTACTAGAACAACCAGTCTTTAATTCAAGTTGCAATCATCTAACAGCAATGATCATCATGTATGCTACCGTACCATTCAAATGGAAGAGAGAAGCATGCATTAATGGCATAATCCCGGTTTGTCATGATTTTAAAATGATTTTATTACAACATAATCCGCTCATTCCTTTACATATCGATAAGAATTTTAATGCTCTCAGCAGCATAAGCATTAATATTAATCTTTATTAATCTGAAAATTATCTAAAATCTAACGGAGTTTCTAATGGCACTGACTGTGATGTGAAAGGAATTATTGAAAATAGTCAAGTTTGATGCATCTGATTTGCATCTAAAATTACCAATCCAGAAGCTAAATTGTTTATTAATTGAACGACAGGTTTTTGACCTAAAACTTGCATCATTGATTCGATAGACACACAGCAAGCTTGCTCCACAACTTGCACTATAAAAGGCATTATATCCAATTAAGCTATAAAATTCACTTCTAATTAATTCTGATTTACAAAAATTACTCGAACCACTTTAGTTTGAAATCTCAATCAGCTACTTTCATGCCTCAAATAAAAACTTTTCTCCTTCACCTTTCCATTAAATTTCATTGATTGACGTAATTAAGAGGAGTATTCGAGTTTTGTGCTGTGCAAAAATTTAGTTCAACAACAACTTAATATCATCATCAACTTAATGTCATGCACTTTTTGAAAGCAGAACAATCTTTAGTGCTCAGTTTCACAAAAGTGCATAAAAATTGAAATCATAACGAGGAATAATGTTGTGGTTTTATGTCTTGAAAACAATAGTGTTGCTTTGGGGACTAGGGATGGAAACTTTTGGGAATATTTTGGTTAATTTTATTAATTAACTTTGACCTATTGAGGGGATCTCTGATCCTATCTTAGGTCCTTAACACTCTCAACAGTGTTAGCTACAGTCATAGTTCTTTGTTGACAGCTTATGCCCTCTTAAGAATCTTTTTGAACTTTAGTCGCCCTTCAATGACTATCTTTGGGTACCTAAAAATCTTATTTGAGGTTCTTCGAGATTTTATGATTCCTATTGACCTCTTTAAACCTACAATGACACCCAAGTCACTTCTATCCATCCACCTCCTATCACAAATCACCATCAAACCCGCATCAAAACAATCAAAATTCAACACTAGAGCCAAAAAAAAAGTTTCCATCTCAAGCATATTATATTGTTATTGCTGCAGCACGGCTCTCAGTGCATCATAAAGAGTAGAGAAACAAGAATGATATAAAAATAAGTATAATAAATGATTTATGATTCCCTTTCCAATTAAAAAATAAAGAAAAGAAAAATAAGAGTTGTGCGCTTAATCGTTATGCAAATTAATAATTTTGACCTTGTTCACTTGGCACTGCACTAAACCTATTAAACATATTATTCATTCATTCAGTTCTTTTTTTTTTCTTCATCATTATGAGTTGTGCTGGTGGAAGTGCATTGGAAATTCTTTTTAGTCTCTCTCATCGTCCTACATTTCTATAATGTGGGTATTTATTGATAATTTGAGTTGGCAGTATAAAGTATCATTTTTTGAACTTTTTTGGGGACATTACAATGTATACATACATGCAAAATTATACAAATATATGAATGAAATCGTTTTGAATGAATGGCAAATTTGTGACACAGAAACTCATTTGGCAGTTGGAATAAGAAGTTAAATTGTCCACGAGAGCCATTCATAATTGCGATTTTCAATGGCTATTCTGAGCTAGAGAAACGTACAAAATTGAAAAAATAAGAAGTTGCATGAATTATTTTGAGAGTATGTTGAACTCTTTGTTTTGGAATTTTCAGTGTAGTTTATAATTTAACTCCTCATATCCGTACATTTCAGCGTATATCAACTAGTTTAAGGTCACACATCTGAAGAATTATTCAACTAGAATAACCAATGAACTATAAAATAACAATTAATGACATTAGTCTTAAAATCAATAGACAGTTCTAGCAAATGTAGAAGCTATAAGCAGCCAACTGTTCACAAACCCCCAATTACCACACAGCATGAACACGCCAAACTGTTTTAATTCACATAATAAAATTACCACAAAATTCAAAGCTTATAAGCACAACTGTATGTCCAAAATAATTAGCACACCTTTGACTTAACAGCTAAAAAATGACAGAATTAAAGAAGTCAATATGTGATCTTTAGGATTGCCCCAGAAAAAAAAAGTTTATTGCAATATCAAGCAAATCTCACGTATTTACTAGCTATTAAGTCATTTCGCATAGCTCTCTATATTTGTGCTGTTACATCTTACAATAACAAATTCCCCTTTTAAAAAAAGAGCTATTAATGAACACTAATGACTAATGAACTCTACAACTTTAAGTTTTACAGAAAAAAGAGGCATATTAAATGTTCATGCAACAGCAGCAGTAACAAGTCATGACAAAACAATTTTTTTTTTTCATAAAGTAAAGAGACAGGTGAGTGAAGTGGAGTCTCTTTGTGATATTTCTTTTTTGCTAGAGATCTGTGATTATTTTTCATATTACATCAAAACATGTGACTTTACAAAAAATGAACTTTTGTTTTGTTTGAGCAGCTTCGTAATGTTTTAAAGGAACTTTGGGCAGTATCGGTTGAGTTGGAACGTAATTCAGCAAAGCTGAGCTAAATTGAGCAA